CCCCCCGCGCGCCCGTGAAATTCCGGAGATGTGGTAGTCCGTGGGAATGTTGCCATCGCCTGGGGAAGAATGCCCGATACCGTCGCCGTCGATAATGGATTGGCCGTCGCGTTCCGAGCTTATCTCCGAGGAGCGGTGCTTTCCGAGGAGTTAGCGGAAGGAGCGGGCTTCCTTCGCGTCGGAATTTGTCAAGCGCCTCCCGCAATTTCAGCCACCGAAACATCTGACTGAGGAGCGGAAGCCCACGGAAGGCGTTTCCTTTCAGTTGCAGGAGAATTTCTTTACTTACGAAGGACTTAAGCATCCTTGGTACCTTTCTCTAAATATTAACACGTTCAATTTTGATACGTTAAATTAGTAGTACATCGTTCATGACAAACAATGTAGATATTGTTTCAGAATTATTGAGGCGAATTGAATTTGAAAACACTAACTCACAATCACTCGCTAAATTATCGCGCTATCTAGTTATCTAACTATTTTTATTCTGGTCTTCTTTATTAAAAATAATAAATTGTCTGTCGTACCAATAATGCCATAACTCAAATTTTAAACTCTACTTATATTTGTAACTGAGGCATGCAATGCATTTTTTTCGATTGACAACTATATAATGAAAATGTGGATACGAATTATTATGTCCTAATGGAACAGTTGTGAAACGCCTTGTATGAGAAACTTTTTTTATATTTCTTCTATTTTTATTAGTTCAATGTTACTATTCCGTTATATTTGCATTAACTGAGTCTGTATCATTCTTTTCTCATTCATATTATGTGGAGGAGGAATATTCTACTCGTGTAAAAATGCAATTCTTAAATGCTGGCAATATTTCCAGAGTGGACATTAAAACTGAGAATCACAATTCCTAGAAGTTTGAAAGAAATAGGTTTCCAGTGTTTTATAGCAACTTTTCCGTGTTAATTTGTCTTATGATCTCCCTATTTTTTCGGGTCAATGAATTGAGTTTGGTTCACAGCAAGCAGTGCCACCATCGACTCGGACGAGATGGTCCTAGGGTTCGAGTCCTGACGGTGGCGGATTTAACACATTAGCTAGATAGCTAGGTCGAATTCAGTCGCTGTCTGGAGGAGAATTCTAGCGGCCGGCTGTTCTGTTCAGTAGTTTTTCGTGGTTTCTCCGATCAACACCAGGCGAATGCCGCAGCAGTACCCAAATACACACGCGAGCCACCCCGCGCGCCATCTTTCCTTCCTCTTCCTTGTCTATCCTCACCCCTTACTTACACACACACATACACTAACATGCACTACACTACCACACATGTCGGGAGACTAATCGGAAGCTTAGAGCTTGTCCCGGCTGAGGCGGTGCCTCGGTGGGGTTTACCTGAGGTGAGAAATTCACCGCCAGCCGGCCATGTAGGTCGGCGTTGGATCTCGCCAGCCAGCTGCAAAGAAATCGCCACCACCTCCCACTGGAAAAACATTCACTAAGGGGATTAATGGGGAATGACGACCGTGGTTGTCGTGCCCGGAAACATTCTGTTATTCGTGACAATGAACGGGGTCCGTTCTGAATTGGGGATGTCCTATGCAGTATCTCTCCGACAGTTTGCGACTTTCCTAAACGCGGTCTTGTCTCCTCTGTTGCAGACGGACCCGAGCACCGCCTTCCTGCGGGCGGCGCGTGCCGGGCAGCTGGAGAAGGTGCTGGAGCTGCTGGACAACGGCGTCGAGATCAACGCGGCCAATGCGGTGAGTTCACTGCTGGAGGTATCTTATCGCATTCCGCTTTTGAGCCTCTGCACATGCCAACTCGACCTCCAAGTGCTACAAGTGCCCGATATTCCACCGGATTTAGCGGGCGATTTATGTGGAATATTAATCCAGAACTTGGTCATTCTATATGGAATTCGTTCACAACTGCGGCGGCAGTGTGTGCTGCTGAATGCCTATTCGCATGGGGCCACAGCGTGTTGGTGATATTAATCTGTGAACGTAATAATCTTCATGCACGATTACATTTATAATTAATTTTATAATAATTATCTAGTAATATAATTTAGGTCCAGATTTTTAGGATTCTATGTCATTTTAAGCTGTTTGAAAAAGTTGAATTCGCCTATTTTTTTGTTTTTATTGTTTATTTTCTAATCACTTTCATCAGACTGAACATTAATTGCAACAAATAATATTTAAACTACTTATTTTATTCATTTTTTAAAATTTGAGCAAAGTTATTCTTAACAAAGAACAAAATTTAAGAACAATTTTACAACATCTTAAACATTCCCTGGAAAATTAGAATCCAAACCGAAAATTAATTTTAATATGTGGTATTGCAATGAACAGCTATTTATAGTACGAAAATGTCTAATGTGAAGGATTTCCTTTTGTCTCTCAACCCATATTTTAAATGATAAAACTCTCGCTCAACCCTATATAAAAACAATGGTACATACTTCATAGATGACACTACTGTTGAACTCCCAAGGTAAACTCCAGATATTCCTTCTAGAAGAACTCCATTTGTGTCTTTCATCTTAGCGTGACTAGAATTACGTTGAATTTTCGAAAACTTTGAACAGAACCCATCGCATTATGACTCTGGTACTTTCTTCATGAAACAGTTAAAATTATGTTCATTACTTCGTTTAGTAGAAGACATGCACCTTCTATTTTTATCAGGAAATTATTATTTATCTAATTTGTAACAATGAAGGGTTAAATGCTGAGTTCAGGCCGAAAAAAAAATCAACCGTAATTTTTCCTTAAGCCAGTCTTGCATATGTTTCTGAGAAATCGTGATTTCTTTTCTAGGATCATAACTAATTTTAAGCCAATTCTGGGATTTATAGGATTAACGTATTTGGCTCAAAAATGGATGTGTAATAAACTAATGACGTTAGGAAGTGAGGAAAAAAATTAAAACCCAAGAATCTGGGCCCTAATAATTGTACACAGATCAAACGTTGATGGGCAGTTCTACTCCAGCAAATGGATATCAAGAGGATATGGCTTTTTTTAAAAAAAATAGTTCATACTCTGCCGCCACAAATGGGAACTTATTTGATTTCTATCCAAACGTTTTGCGCAAACTCTTCGAGGTCACATGTTTTTATGGTCACGTGGTAAATTTACGTTTCGCTGTACAAAACATCAAGTGTTTCGCAAACGAGATTATGACTGGTTTGCGAGTTTTCATGAGTGCGATTAAGAAACATTTAATCGAGTTGTTTACTACTCTATGTATTGTAGAGTTTCGCTGTAAATTAATTAACCAACCAAGTTAATTGTAAGGGTATTGTTCGAAGTTGACACATTTATTAATATATATCTTACCATAACCGTTATATGACGCCTGCTTAATAATATTTTACGAGTTACTCTGTGATATAATTGACGTGTGGGTTTGTTCGTGATAGTGTATTTTTTTAATGTAAGTTTTTATTGAAGCAAGCGGAATACTTGTATATATTAAAAAAAGAATACATTAGCTAAACGTGATTTTAATAATTTTCACATTCTTGCAATTGCAATTTTATTGCAATTATGGACATTTGTTTCCATTCAGTTCGTATGTAAACTCAAAAATGAAATAAGTTTCGATTCGGTTACTGTTTATTGAAGTCTTTAAACCTTTATATTTATTTGTGTTGAAAAGTGGGACTGAATACAAATTGATCTGTTTATAACTATTCCGTTAGGCTACTAAGCGTTGAGGTTATTATTATTCTATCGTTAGATTTCCGCTCCGAGTGAGTCTTGTTTCTTTCATCACGTTTGAGTAAAAAACCAAGGCGTTCGGGGCATACACGCAGACATTTTAAGTTGCGTAATGCAAGATACGATCTTGGCATCTTTTGGATCTACCTCTTGCATTTCTCACTGTTGATGGTAATCTCTCTCGGCCGTGACATACATTATGGATTGGGGCGGCGAGGCGGAGCGAGGCGGGACGAGGCGTGAATGTGTCCTGCGGAGCGTGACGGCCCTTGGCAGTGAACCACTCGAGCGCCCACGTTGCTTCTGGTTATTAACTGGGCCGTCGATTCCAGGTTTCAAACTCTGGTGCCGGGGCGTAACATATATATGTTTTTGGCGAGATCAAAAATTTCGAACGAAAGTGATCGCTACATTATACATTATTCTTTTACGTGCTATGTTGCGTAAAATAGTAGGAGCTTAAAAATCATTTAAAATAGGCCTCTCTCTAACATCCAATGAATCATCTAATCACTAACGAAAATTGGGAAAAGTATTTGGTTGACGCCTAAAGAGTTAGGCAACCCACCTCACTCGCGAGAAAACCTGGTCGTGCGTAGACGCACGTAGACCATATCATCTATGTGCGTCAAAGAAGTTGTATCGGTAAGAGACACCACGCTCGGCTCTGACGCTAAAGTCCATTCAAGTAGACACAAACCTACCTATATTCGTCTTAGGTGACGAAAGTTATAGAGCCTAAGTCATTGCTTTCGCAACCTAGGTCAGAAATGTATTTTTAATGCATATGCAATTAATGCATACAATAAATGGGCACTTTTTCTAAACGGTAGAGATAGTATCTGTTGCGGTACTAGTTTTTCCACTCTAATTTCTTGAATATCGTGTAAATATAAATTCAATGCATATCACGTATTTCCTGGTGGATCCTGCCACCAAAAACTCCAGGTTATTTGAAATAAAATGTAACTGTTATTTGAAATAATATTTGATACGTTAGTAGAGGTTATGTGAGCAGTTTATGGTCAACGGATTGTAAACGTGTTCATAAACTCATAAACAGTGAAGTTGATGATTGAGACCCGTGAGGCTGAAATGGAATTGTGTGCTGTGCGTAGAACGGGCTGAACGCGCTGCACCTGTCGGCGAAGGACGGCCACCTGGACATCGCGGCGGAGCTCCTGCGCCGCGGCGCCGCCGTCGACGCCTCCACCAAGAAGGGCAACACGGCGCTGCACATCGCCTCGCTCGGTGAGCCCCAGCACTGCCCTTCGCTCTCGCATTCTCTCTCGCTCTCGCTCTCTCTCTCGCTCTCTCTCCCTCTCTCTCCCTCTCTCTCCCTCTCTCCCTCTCTCTCCCTCTCTCCCTCTCTCCCTCTCTCTCCGATCTCTCCCCTCTTTCACTCCTCCCACTTCTCTCTCCCACTCTCTCTCCCCCTCTCTCCCTCCCTCTCTCCTCCCTCCCTCCTCCTCCCTCCCCTCTCTCCGCTCCCTCCTCCCTCTCTCCCTCCCTTTTCCCTCCCTCTTCCCTCTCTCCCTCCTCTCTCCCTCTCCTCTCTCTCTCCCCTCTTCCTTATCTCTCTTCTCCCTCTCTCCCTCTTCTTCTTTCTTTCTTTCTCTTTTCTTTTCCCTCTCTCGTTCCACCTTTTCTCTCTTCATTCTCACCTTTATTCTCTTGATATACATTTCATTGTTCTCTCCGTTCTCTCGTACTTTCCCTTTTCTCTCCTTATTCCTCCCTTTGTCTCTTCCATTCGCAATTCCTTTTTCTCCACCCACCTCATCTTTTTTCTTCTTGTCTCTCTCTCTTTTTCTCCATAAAATTATGAAACAAGCTCATATTATTAAAGGTAAATCGTAACACAAATTGCGTAATTATTTCTTTTCACATTAAATTCTGCAGAAACGCCATTATGCGTTCAATTTGCAGCAAATGGAATTTGTCACCCAATTATCACGGATTCAGTGGATTCAACGTTTAATGCGCAGACCCGATGCATGTCCATTTGCATGTGGCTGCCATTCGTACCGTTTTATAGGGCGCGATCGCAGTGGCCACGTGCGCGTTGTCGCGGCTGATTGAGATGCCGCATCGCGAGGCGTTTACGGGCCCCTAACGAGGCCCACGCGGCCCGCCGCCGCGTCCCTCGCGCGGCGACAAGGCCCCGCGGGAATGGAGGCGCATTTGTACTTCCCGGCACGCACGAGACGCTCACGTCCTCCTCACGCCCCTCCCCCGCCTCGACGTGAGTCACGCGTAACGGGACTTCTGGTCGTCGCCTCGCCCGTCGGTGCGCACGCCGCCGCCCCCGCCCCCCACCGTCCGGCAACCGCCCCTGTCCCGTCCCTGCCCGCCCCTGTCCCCCACCTGTCCCGCCCTGTCCCCCCTGTCCGCCACCTGTCCCGCCCCCTGCCCCCGCCCCTGTCCGCCCGCCTGCCCCGCCCCCTGCCCCGCCCCCTTGCCCGCTCCCTGCCCGGCCCCCTGCCCGCCCCTTCCCTGCAACGCCCCTGCCCCCACCTCTGCCCCCCACCCGCTGGCCTCTGCCCCGCCTGCCACCGATCTATCCCTCCCCACCCTTTCCCTCGTTCTCTCCTCCCCTTCCGCCTCCGCCCCGTCTCCCTCGTCTCCGCCACCGCCGTATCTGTCGCCACGCCGTAGTCTGCCACAATCGCCACCAGCCGCCGTTTCGTTTGCACAGCGCGGGCGGTGGCTTGGGGGGGGGCGTGCGCCGGTGGCCGTCGCGCCCGAGCGTTGAACCCGCGCACACGCGCCTCACGCCCCACGCCGCGCACGCGCACGCGCCTCTTCGCACCCTAACTTGCCAGACCCCATCCCCTAAGTTAACCTACAAAAGCTCGCCTCCGCTAAATACGAGTACTACGTCACTTTTGCGTTAGTTAACTTTCATACATAACTAGAAATGTTGGGTGATTCTTCCGTGTGCCAATGAATTAAAATGTTCTTAAATATGTGCTTTGCAAATTTCGCATACGCGCGAAATTCGAAAGAAAACTATACAGCCACCAACCATGTGAGAGGTATTTGTGGCTTCGTTGAAACACCCACAAACCGAGGGGAAATCCAAAACATGAAAGTTTCGATTTTGACCGAAAAATGCAAATATTTCTTTTTGTTATTTCGCGAAATGTAGCTTTGCGCGTTCCGACTGAAGTTTCACACTTGGTACGTCACTGCTTACGTCACAGCCGAAGTCTTGCGTCGGTAAGACTCCAAGGAAGAGGCCCGGGATTCAATATTTGCTCTTTATGTGTTGCACTGTTCTGTGTATTTCAATAGTTAATCTTGGGCAGTGTGCGTGCTAATGTTTGGAAAACCAGTTTGTTCAACAGTATTTTATGTGCTGCAGGCCACTAGTTTTACGTATTTATGCAAAGTAAAAAGTATTGCTTAAAAACGTATTAAAGATTCAACTTCTTAATCACGTACAGCTTGGATATACTGCAAAGAAGAATTTGCGTTCATCGAAAGGAGCTGGAAATACAGTTAATAATTTTATAATAAAACTGTTTTGTAACTACTCTTTGATGCGATTGATGGCAAAAAATAACTGCGTCGTGTTTGTTTACACCCCGAGTTTTAAAGCTCGTACAGCATTCAATCCATTTTACGAACGTCCAGCGATTTTTATTGCATCATATTCATGAAATTGTTCTCGTCTACACGCGCGCAACTGATTATTGGATAGCATCCCGACGTCGGCGCCCACAGCAACATTTATCACATTTACCGGCTTCTATCGGCACTCCCCACTCGGAGTAGTAGAGGTGTAGCCGCGATCACAGGAAGGAGTGTAATCACTTCTTAAATGGAGCGGTGATGCGTAATTGAGGAAATAATTTCAGAGTCGTTTCTCTATGGAAATGTCGTGTTAGTATGCAAATCACATGCTGAAGGAAGTGCTATAATGCTAGCTAGCTTACTACAGTCTCTATCTTCGAGGTACAGGTGCGTGACGTATCAAGGATTTTAAAGTGCTTTGAGGACGCCGGGCTTCCAACTGTACAGTTGCCGTGATGTATTGTGGGGAATGAAAAGAAGACAGGAAGAATCGGAGGAAATGTTCGGATGCTTTAGCGTCTGGAGAAGGTGAGGAGTTTTCCTTTAGGGAGAGAGCTTCTTCGAATGTGCAGTGAAACTCGCCCCGTGGTGTTGGTTTAGCTGCGCGTCAACCGTCGTTTTATTCGTGATTTCGAACGTGTGTGCAGCTTTTTAAAAGAGCACGGGACTCGAAAATGATGGAAACTATTACTTTGTAAATGGTTATGTGGATGGCTCGTATTTCATTGAACGCCAGTCCTAAGTGAGAAGTGATTGATAAGAACCCATGGCTCCGGGATGCGCTGCTCTGTCTACGATTTTGTTGTCGAAATTGAACAATTCGCAGATTATTCGTAATTGAGGAAACCCAGATTTGCCCGAATCTCGACACTCTGTCCCTATGCAGATGTACTTATTCAATTGCGAGAAAATTAAACAAAGCTGTACTCCTTTTCTTTTTCTTCTTCTTCTTCTTCTTCTTCTTCTTCTTATTATTATTATTATTATTATTATTATTATTATTATTATTTCGAGCTTTTTACATTGTACAATTACATATTCAAAACAAAAGCATGCATTGTATATATTTATAACTATATAATTGTTTTAATTATAAGTATATTTAAAAACGTATAATAATAATAAGCAATAATGCTTATAGGATAATAAACTTGTACATAATTACACGAGACCCACAACATTCATTGAAACGCACAACACAACTCTAAATTCACATTACATTCATTACAAATTAATATTACATTTCATTACATATTCTCCCTCATAGACTTTCTAAGCACGTGGAGAAAATGAAATTATTCTGGGTGTTAATAATTACCGATTTATGGCTTGACAGTGTCATTTGGCCCGAAGCCCTTGGGTAACTATTACATGTGTATTTTTTCACATCAAGAGACAATTCTTCATTCACGCCAAGGATCAATTCTGTGTATTTTTCTAATTTCGTCTGGTAGGCTGTCACAATATTGAAAGAGTCTACTCTAGCGAAATCTACAAACCAGATATCCTTTAACACGCTATCCCGAATTGTCAGAAATACCATTAAATTTAATGTAGATGAATGTATTTTACATGAAACTTAATGTAACATTGTTCATTAAAAAGAGCTTAATATATGTCTACAATAAATTTAAAGAATAAGTTGAAATCAGTGTGTATTTAATGTAGATATCTTCCCGCCTCTGGTCATTCATATACAATTATTGTATTATACTCATAATCACCAATCATCACCAGCAATTACTGCCATGTCCATTTCATTAAAATAATGCGTAATTTCTGAGTGTGTGTATGTGTTTGTTGTGCGCGCGCAGCGGGGCAGGAGGAGGTGGTGAAGCTGCTGGTGAAGAACGGCGCCGCTGTGAACGCGCAGTCGCAGAATGGCTTCACGCCGCTGTACATGGCGGCGCAGGAGAACCACGACGGCGTGGTGCGCTTCCTGCTGGGCAAGGGCGCCAACCAGAGCCTGGCCACGGAGGTGGGTCTCTTCTCTTTTTTATGCCTCCGCGTAGGATGTGTAGTTTGGCGTACGTTTTTATGTCTTCTCCAAAACTACTCTTGTGGTTAAATGAATTGCCTAAATGGTACAACTTTGCTGACTAAAAAGTTGGCGATGTCTGATTGTTGTCAGGTATAGAGCCGATTAATATAAGTGGCTTAATTTGTTTACGAAATTCAGTGCCATTAAATCGTTTTGGTGTAGAATCCAAAGTGATTCCTGACGAATCATTGAGTCCTTTTGTTTCGTATTTTATTGCACTGAATCTATGTTGTGTACTTCCTTCTTCGTTGATAAGGAGGGAGATAGGACGATTTAGGAGATATAAAATCTACCCTAAAGACACTCCTTTTTTATATATGAGATAAATGTTTTGGATAATGAATATTATCCAAACGCCATTTGCATTATTTCCAATACATATTTTCACTGTCGTTAATGAGAAGATTTTAGTTTCATGGGAGAATTTTGAGAAAAAAGCTGTCACTCTGAAATTAGCGCTTGGTTTTTACGATAATGTAGACAGCCAACTTCAGACACTTCAGATTATGAACACTGGATACCGGTTTTAGTCTTTGAATGCGACGCGTGAAATAAGCAAAATTGAAAAGAAATGTTCAGTGATGTGAAAAGTGTTTTGGAAAAACATACCTGTTTTTTCTGGACCCCCCCCCCCTCGCAAAAACTTCCTTTTGGCATGGTCAAATGTAAGGGTGAGCGGAATGGACTGCAGCCCAGAGGTCCCCTAAACTAAAAGTGTCATCTGAAAATAAACGAAGTAACATTAAGAACGTGTTTAAATATTAAATATTTATTGAATGCTTAATACAATATCGCAATATTATAATAACTAGCCGAACCCCCGCGATTGCTCGCAATAAATGAGAACTGAAGATGAGTTACAACCGAAAAGTACCACATACGCGTAATAATAATAATAATAATAATAATAATAATAATAATAATAATTAAAATACTATTATTAAGATTGATTAACAGAAACCAATTAAAATTCTAATTTTAAATGTAGCGAATATTTTAACATTTTCAGGAAATTATCACTTACACCAGGATAATTGAAACACTAAGGTGTTTTGCGAAATTAATTGCTTAACATTTCAGTGAAAAAGCCCCCCCCCCCGCCCCAACAAACTTCAGCCCTGAGACCTTCAATGAAAGACACATGTTCATAATACGTCACTAAATAAATTCCATTTTCTGCCCGGGGGGTATGTCTATCCCAGCAAAAAAGCAAGGCAAAGATCTTGCAATGCAGGTTGCGTCGCGCAGCCGCCGCCCTTGGGAGCACGCCAGGGCGATGCTCTCGCCAGTCGGGCGGGCCTGGGTGAAACTGCGCGAGTAGAAAGCGAGAGGGTCGGAAGCGGAAGTCGGTCGGGCCTTGGGAAGGGAAGCTTCCGGTGCAGCTCATTCTTCGGGTGTCACTCTTTCTACCTCTTCTTATCAAGTCGAGAAACTAGAAATCGATTGCTGCACCGTAGAAACGAACGTAAAAGGCTGTGTTTTCGGAATTAGACGGTGTGGACCAGGAAGTGACGGATCCAAGGATAAGGGTGCTTGGGGGCCATGCCCCCCCCCCCGGCTCAGAGTTTTTGTTTGATACTTTCTTTTATTTGGCAAAATTGATTTTAATATTTATGTTGGAATATTATGTAATTATTAAAAATTTATGATATTTTATCATGTATACACTACAAATATAATATACTATGTAATAGCGAGTTTTTCTGGTTAATACATGTCAACAACGCTCCTACCTATCATTTATTCTGAATTTAATTAAGATTAGTAAAGGAGTAGGGGTAAGCATTGTGGGGCCACCTGACGCGAGCGACCGACCCATTACAGTGCGCGTATATACCTAGATTGAAAAACAAAGAGTAATGACTTTGCATAAAACGTATTTCTAGTAAAGACTCGAATGCAATGTTGTATTATCTTTAACGTACGAACAATTGTTTGTACTTTGTAATCACTATGAGAACTACTCGATTGTTCAATCGTGGAGTTTCCATTGTAATTAAATAAATAATATATACATTTTGTTTAATGATTTTATATTTAAAATGTGTGTAAGATCCAAACTTACATTCCTAAACTGTCAAAATAATAGATTTGAAACATTTTAATTGTCTTCAATTTAAAAAATTGGACATTTCATCCATTCATGTATGAAACTTATTTAAAAAACGTCTTTCGGTGACAATGATGCCATTAGGATTCATTATTTAATTTTTAAACCAAGATTATTTAATTAAAACAATATTTTTTTCAAATGTGAAGCACAAAGGGTTACTGCCCCAGAAATGACAGTTCAGTTAGAGCTTAGGAATAATTTACAATAGTGATTGAGTTTGTTCGGATGTAATCTCTAAAAGGAACATCGTAAGAATTATAACAAATCATGTCTAAGAGCACGTGACAACATTAATAATAAATTTCTGTCTGAGAAATTAAAAGTGAAGCCATGCACGTCGAACGTAAACGGACAGTTCACGAGCAGAGTAGTATAAAAAAGTTACCTTTTGATCTGGGCTGTCCGGGTGACGCCGCGTCGATGGCTGATGTGCCGACGTTTCGACCTACATGTCGCGGTCCTCTTCAGGGGCTGTACTGCGACAGGCATGTCGCGGAAACCTACGACATCAAGTTACCTTTTCCCCGCATTCAATTAAAATAGCTCCATATCAGTGTTTAATCAAAAGTAATCCCTATAAATAATATTTCTTTAAGAATGCGTTTTGAAGAAAAAAATCGGTGTCGCTTCTTTTATTTTTAATTGAATAAATATAGAAAATGAGTAGCTATAAAAATGCAGATAACGCATCTAGAACAAAACTATTTCATGTGGTTAAATAAGATTCGAAAGGAGGTTATGGAGGGTCGAAGAACGGTTTGTAATTTACGTTTTTGTCGGTTACAATGGGAATTGTGTTTTCCTAGCTCAAAATGAAATGCAGACGGGATATTATTAATTTTGCGGTAGAATTTTGCTGAAATATGTAGAAAAATGTTTTGAATTGGAAATATACCTAATTCAGAATGAATTTGCATGTTTTAAATAAACCAAAAGGGTTAACTAATAGTTCTTAGATATTTTGAAAATTTTGATTTTTTTTAATGTGTTGCAATTTAATTTTTTGATTTTTCTCGGACGTTGTTGAATCTTTCGCCGCTCATTCATTTTTGCGCCTGGGGTTGAGCGTGCGTTTTCCTGTGTTGTGGGTCGCGGGGCTGAAACCGGCTGGCACCTCCGAAGGGTCAGAGTGAACCGGCCGGCAGGCGGACAGGACAGCCTCCCCCCCAGACGACGACGCTAGAGTATTGTTAAAATTCGCAGCCGCTTAGAAAATAAGTTTCTGCCGTCCATGACGAAAGTCACTTAGATTGGCTGGTACAAAAGAAGTATTTGTCGGCGCTTTTTTCTTTTTTAATTCTTCAGTTTTTCGTGGGTTTTGTTGATAGTGTTGCCCCACATCCGATGTTGCGCGTAGCGAAGGGCCTGGGCTTTCCTGTGTTGCGGATCGTGTCGGCGGGGCCCCGGTGAATAGGCTGGCGGGCGGCCAGCGATGAGGTCATGTGTCGTGTCATGTAGATGTTTAAGTGGTGTAATATGCAGAGAGCGAGGCTGCGCCGCGTGGCCGTCCCCGCGCGACTCCCGACGAGCTCACAAAAGGGTGATGTCAACCTTTTGCTGGCGCCGCAACGGCCCGTCAGCTGCCCCGACTTTGTTATTATTTTATTTAGCGCGAAAGCGTCTGAAGGACCGTCTGGATGAATAGTTGGCAAAGGGATGAGTAGTAAATTCTAACGGAAATTACACGTGTGACGGAATAATCTGTGGAGGTGGAGAACTTTAGAAATCAGTGCAAAAATGCCACAAGTGAGTAGGGTCTAATTGGGCGACAGGATACTGAACTAAGAACCAAGTGATATTCTGGTTCATGTAGAACTGTGGATTTGGGTGTGTCAGTGTGGTTTCTATCCAGCTATTTCCATAAGTGACAAGTGTGCAGCAAAGACTCATCTTCACAATTTTAATACCTAACGTCAAACATCAAATTCTTTGTTTTTTTCTAAAGGTAAATCTTTTGGGAAATTTCTCTCCTAGAAGAGAAGACTTTCAGAAAAGACCATAGTTTCACATTTCAGTGTTTTGCTATTATGAGAGTGAAAGTTCATACATAATTGTCATATTTACTAAAAGGCAAGCAAAAAACATTTGTTATTAATGTTGACACACTATTAACAATAATAAAATATTCAGTCGTTTTTTTCTTTGTTTCTATTAACATGGTAAAATTTCAGTGGTATGGTAACTTCTTTTCATCTCCTGAATTTCTTTGTTTTTATTCTACTTCTATATTTTGTGTTGTCAGGGAAAATTATTAAAATGAGGCAACTTTAAAAGGAGCTTCAATGATAGTAACTATTTCATATTTACCATTACAATAACATTATTTTTAACAAATATGATGATATATTGCAAGTTTGGTGGTTGATGGATCTTCAAGGTATACTTCATATGAGTAAGTTAACTTTTTCAGCTGCTAGTTAAAGAGCCTAAAATGCCTTTGAATGCATTGTGTGGGCTACATATGAGCTGACTTATCATAGCTCATGCTGCAATTAATTAATCTGCATAGTCAACGCCATTTAGCTCAAGTTGAGTGCTTGAGTTGGCCTAACTCTGTGATGTGTTCAGTTAGTCATCCAAGAGATGAGGAATTGAGAGTTACACCAAGTGTTTCAAGAAATGATGAAACATATTTTGTGGAATGAAAATTTATTAGTTCATTAGTTTATATTTGCTATTCAGTACAATGTTGTGTTACCTCTGTAAAGAAAAAAATATTTAGTGTTTATTAATTATTAACGATCATTAAAGTTTATTTTATCTTTAAATGTTTGTTATTAACAATTTTCAGGATGGTTTCACACCTTTAGCAGTAGCCATGCAGCAAGGACATGATAAAGTAGTTGCAGTTCTGTTAGAAAATGATACAAGAGGAAAGGTTCGCTTGCCTGCACTTCACATTGCTGCAAAGAAAGATGACTGCAAAGCAGCTGCTCTTCTTTTACAGGTTTGAGAACACTAACAATTAACTAACTTTAGGCTTTCAATAATTAAATTTACCAACACCAGTGATGTTGAGTATTAAGGCAACACCTTATGCTCATGCGTACTGGTGATTGGGAGGTTGCTAGCTCGATCCCCACCAGGTGCCAGAAATTTTTGTGACACTTTTAGTGTCTGTGATTTTGTAGCAACTGCTGGAATCAAATTCATAGTCTTGGCTGCTTTGATAAGTGGATTCCATGGTTTCCCTGGGCCAGAGGAGCACCCTAGCATGCAGTCAACATCCTTCCCTCCTGCTGGCCTGCTTGCTTTCTTTTGTTCCCTCCCTCCTCCTTTCCTTTCTTTCCTTCCTTCCTTTTTGCTGCTGCATTTTGATTTTTGCTTCTTAATTTAGTGATTTTTAAACTTTTGAAATATAAAATTTGAAGAATCTTGCATAATGGATTTAAAATTATCATTATATTCTTTAATAATGTTACATTTTTTTATGATTGAAAGTTATTTACTTTCACCTTGCACTAAGAAGTTCTCTCATTATTTTGTCTATTTACTTATTTGTTGTAGAAGAGTTGTGTGATATTAAATATATGTTTGTTTTTTTTCAGAATGATCACAATCCTGATGTAACTTCAAAGAGTGGATTTACACCTTTACATATTGCTGCACATTATGGAAATGAAAATATTGCCAATTTGCTATATGATAAGGGTGCTGATGTGAATTACGCTGCCAAGGTAATTTATGAATCTCAATTTAAATGTACAATATATAATGTAAAATACATAATATCTTATGTATTTTATGATAGAAAGTCTCTAAATGTTTTATTTTCTCTCCCAGCACAATATTACTCCACTTCATGTAGCATGCAAATGGGGAAAAATCAATATGGTGTGTCTCTTAATCAGCAAGAATGCCAACATTGATGCCAAGACTCGTGATGGTCTTACACCTCTCCACTGTGCTGCACGGTCAGGTCATGACCAAGTGGTAGACATACTTCTAGAAAATAAAGCACCAATTAGATCAAAAACAAAGGTAAGTTCATTTTCTTTGAGAATTTTTTTTTTTCTTTCCCTCTCTTTTTGTTCTTAAAGAAAATTCATTTTCTTATAACAGGAAGAATGTTAACTTTTCAATTCTGAATTTGATGGTATATGTAATGAATTATTCATATTCTTAACAATTGAATTCTCATTACTTTCAGAATGGCTTGGCTCCATTGCACATGGCAGCCCAAGGAGATCATGTGGATGCAGCTCGTATTCTTCTCTATCACCGTGCACCAGTAGATGATGTTACTGTGGACTATCTCACAGCACTCCATGTTGCTGCACATTGTGGCCATGTGCGTGTTGCTAAGTTACTTTTGGATAGAAAAGCAGATCCAAATGCTCGGGCATTAAATGGATTCACTCCATTACACATTGCCTGCAAGAAAAATCGCATTAAAGTGGTAGAGTTACTATTAAAATATGGAGCCTCTATTGAAGCAACCACTGAGGTAAGATACTTATGGCAAGTGTAAAATTTCACTTGTCATATGTTTAATCAAATTTTCAATTCACATAGTTGGGAATATTCTGTCATTTAAAAGACATTTTTCATTAAATAAATGTTTCTTCTTATTAATTATTTTATTTATTTGCAATAATGAAAAATTAGCATGTGTAATACAAACCAACTGTATCAGACTTTAACAATAATTTTGTTTCTTAAACGTTTTTGTCAATAACATTTAATTGTTCCTTTTTGGAATTTTGTAAATTTATTTTCTGATGTTTTGTAGTCAGGACTAACTCCATTGCATGTTGCAAGTTTTATGGGATGTATGAATATTGTTATTTACTTGCTGCAACATAATGCCAATCCTGACATTCCAACTGTGCGTGGAGAAACTCCATTGCATTTGGCTGCAAGAGCAAATCAGACAGATATCATTCGTATTCTTCTAAGGAATGGAGCACAAGTGGATGCCAAAGCTCGAGTAAGAATATTTGTAGTACCTATTCACTATACTTTTGTGTGACTGGAGGTTGCCACTGTTTGTAATCTTAATAATAAATTTATAATAACCTTAACTGGGAAAATGTCTACATAGGAGGAACAAACACCTTTGCATGTGGCATCACGACTTGGGAATTTTGACATTGTGATGTTGCTTCTACAACATGGGGCGTCTGTTGATGCTACCACCAAGGATTTGTACACGCCTTTGCACATTGCAGCCAAGGAGGGCCAAGAAGAGGTAAATTCAGTTGAATAAATTTTACGTGTTTAGCATTGACAGAATTAGGTAAACAATCTTTGTGGTATGTGTATTGTAACCTCTAAATAATTTGAGACCTTTAAAGCTCTTATGAAATAGAATTTCTGTCATCCCAAACAAACTAGTTGCTGTTGAGAAAACTAGTATTCTTAAATATATTCATTAATTAATTGATAATATGATAAAGAGTGAATGTTGCACTAGAAGTAGTAATTCAGGAGTAAATTTGAATTGTATGTTCCAATGATTTGTGTTAATGTATTCTGTGAGTAGCAAGCAACCGCTCACTGAATAGTGTGGATGAGTTGCTTGTTATTTGCCAAGTGAAGAACATTCTGAGCTTGCCATACCCACCACATGTCGGTCTTTAGAACACATGAAAGGGAGCCAACATTTGCCGAACTCATTAGCTGTTTGGGATTAGGCAAGCAATAGCTCACTGCTTGGCAAATGCCAAATGTGTGAGGCTGCCTTTACCCACTAGAAATTATTTTCAGTTTTCTTAATCTTGCATGATACTTCTGTTAATTGACAAGTGTAGTCAAATTTAAATCATGGCTTCTGTTATTAGTGCCATTTTTTCACTCTAGTTATTTTTAAAACTCGTTTAAATTGTTGATTTATCTAATTTTATTTGTAATGTTCTCAAGGTTGCTTCAGTCCTCCTGGAAAATGGAGCTTCATTAACAGCTACCACCAAAAAAGGTTTTACACCACTTCACCTTGCTGCAAAATATGGCAATCTTAAAGTTGCCAAACTCTTACTGCAGAAAGATGCTCCTGTAGATGCCCAGGGAAAGGTGAGTAAACTATAAACAAGGTTTATTTGGTGAAGAAATTAATCTTAAAATGCTTCGTACAAAGAAAAGCTATCAAGTGAAAGGTAGGCCGAATGTATGTAGTATTATGAAGCATAAAGATGGACTAGTTTTCTAATGATATATTTCTCAAAGTGTTTCATAATAAAATGTATTGATGCAGTTAAATAAATCTGAAGTGTCTGACTGTAATTTTCAAATCTTAATTACTTTTTTATCTTACTTATTCGAATACTAAAATTAATCTCATTTCAAATCAATTTCTGTCTGAATGAAATTTTCTTTTTTTCATCATTCTACTATGATTTATAATTTTGAAATCGTATTATCCTATAATTGGTTTTACACTGTTGCATTTATTGTAATTAAAATAAATTATAGGCACTACCCATAGGACCAATTTAGTTTTGTTTTACCATGATATCCCAAACAATTCCAAAGATATTTATTTTGTGGATCCCCCCGCATTGCACAGGTTCATGCTCCTGTTACATACAAGTGAATATATTTGTTTGTGCCACAAAAACTTTGGAACCTCTCAAGTGATTGCTCCCAAATTTGACACAAAAAACTTTTGAGAGGTCAAGAATGAAAAATAGTGTGGTTGCAATTCAAAACTAAAGCCTCAATTTTTTTATGTATATATTCGGTTAAATGCATTCCCCATTCCATCTGGGCTTCATTTTTGCTGGGTGATATAGGGCAGGGCTGAGCAGGACTTGACGCAGCTGGTGAAACAGGAGAGATGGAGAAATAGCAAGGAATGAGCAAAGCAGAATAAGCAAAAAGAGCAAGAGGAGCAGAAGGGGAGAAAGGAGGGGGACGAGTAGTGCAGTAGATAGAGGGGGAGCGAAACAGCAGGCCGAGTGAAAGGAATGGTTATGGTGGAAAGACAGAACAAGCAGGAGTGCCTTATGAGTGTGAGGAACAGATTGAGTGAAAAGATCTGGATAGCAGGATAAGAAATATGGCAATGGCAAGCCAAATAGGATGTACAGAAGAGATGAATGAAGCGTGATGAGCGGGAGGAACAGATAGAGCAAAAGGGACTGAATGGCAGGACTGGAGGTGTTGCCATGGTAGGCAAGATAGGGCATGCAGGAGAAACAGATGAGCGGAAGGGGTTGATTGGGCATTGTGGAAGGTTTTGGCATTATGGCCGTAAAATGCCAGATAGGGTGTTCAGGAGCGATGGATGGAACGTGATAAGCGGGAGGAACAAATAGACTGAAAGGGGTTGGATGGGTGGGGCAGGTGTGGTAAGCAGGACAGCAATGGCAGACCAGATAAGGGCATGTGGAGAAGATGGGTGAAGTGTGTGAGGTGAGCAAGGCTGCTTATTAGATGATTGTGAGAAATAAATATCTGGGCTCACCAGGTAATCAGCTTGTAGATGTATAAAATGCAATAAGAGTAATCATTGATGTTCTATCATGTACTATTATGTAAAAGAGTGTACAAATGTTCAAATATAAATAATTATAGTCATTGAAAGAATACTAGTTTCTATTATCAAGCAACTAATGAAAATTATATGTAAAAAATGCACCACAACTTCAAACCCTTATTTGGAAGTTTGTACAAACAAAATGAAATTGAAATTGAATTCTCTTTTCAGAGAGTAATGAATATGTTTGCATATGTTATGCATATTTGTATCCTTTTCAGAATGGTGTCACGCCATTACACGTTGCCAGCCACTACGATCATCAAAATGTGGCTTTGTTGTTGCTGGACAAAGGAGCTTCTCCTCATGCTACTGCCAAGAATGGTCACACACCTTTGCATATTGCTGCTCGCAAAAATCAAGTAAGATATAAAAGTTAATAATAATAATAATAATAATAATAACAATAATAATAACAATAATAATAATAACAATAATAATAACAATAATAATAATAACAATAATAATGATGATGATGATGATGATGATGATGATATTAAAACAATACATATCACTTCTGTTATCAACTACATAGGATTTAACAATACTAATACATTCTATATTTAAAACTTGAAATGGTGAGGAGGAGGAGGAGGCAGGTTTTGACCAGTTTTTTCTTTTCTCCTTTCAATTTGTTCACGTAATTCTGCTGCAGCACCTAATGCATGTAGAGAATCGAGAGAGAAACAGTTAACATGAAATAGAAAGTCTAATGGGAAAAGAAATTCTTATTTATTTATATTTTTTAAGGGAAATATTTTTGTGATTTGAATATTTCTTTACACCGTAGAAAGATAAGAGCATTGTGTTCCACATATTTAGGCAAGATTAATTTCTTTATGAAATACTTGTTTTACAGATGGACATTGCAACCACACTGTTGGAATATGGTGCAAAAGCCAGTGCAGAATCAAAAGCTGGTTTCACACCACTTCACTTGAGTGCTCAGGAAGGTCACACAGACATGGCTTCTTTACTCATTGAGCACCAAGCAGATCCCAACCACAGAGCTAAGGTAATATTTTTTTTTTTAACACTCTTGCTACCACTACAATGGTAGAGAGAAAGTTATGTAATGCTGCCAGAAAAAAAATTAATTTTTTAAAGTAGGTTTATCTATTTTAATATTCTTTGTGAATTAATAGATTGTTAAAAAATGTTATCTGAAAACTGTGTGCTAGAACAGTGGTCTCAGGAAGATGTGAAGGGCACTTGACTCACTTGCACCCACATTTTCAAGTACATCCAGTAATTTTATTTTGATTTTATTATTATTTGACTAAAGATGCTTTCAGTAAAATGCAATAACTATACAGAGGTTGCTAAATTATTTGGCTAAATACTTTTTCCTTGACTAAACAGATTATAAAATGTTCTGGGAAGATCATGACAAAAGTTTGAAGTGTAATATCTGTTAATGATACTGGAAATGTATACATAATTATTGGCATAACAAGGCATAATCAATACCTAGAGGTCATAAAGAGATCCAATGGTTCCTTAAATAAAAGAAAGAAAAAAAAAATCCATGCATATTCACACTTGTCTGCACTGCCTGCCACCATAGAAAAGAAAGTTGGAAAATATGAAGACATTGATCAGAATGTTCCAATGGACTGTAAATACTCCTGACATGAATCCTGTATAAAAAGTTCAATCTTAAGTTAAAAGAAACTGTAGAAAAAAAGGTCTTAAAGAAACAAGCTCATAAAACAACCCATTTGCTTCTGGCAAAATGACTTTGACTTTGAAATTGAAAGAATAGATTAGAAACTGATTTTCATTATGCTTCATTTAAAGTGGAAATTATGCTTCATTTAAAGTGGAATTATGCTTCATTTAAGTATGAATAAGGTAATGTATGTGAAACATTAAAAACCTGTTCACACAGTTTATTGTCAAGATCTGTGATGACAAATTCATTGTTGTCTCATTCAATAACTTTTAGTCTAATTTGGCCACCTCTGTAAAATTTATTTGTTATATAATATTCAGGCTATGAAATGATCATTTGGTATATACAATAATGTTTTGCTCTCCTTCATTGGTCAAAAAGTGAAAAATGTCTGTGAAAGGAATTCTATAAAGAAACTCTCAAAGTGGTGGGTGGATATAACGGTACCCATGAACCTTCATTTTTGTATCAAATGGAGAAGGCTAGTAAGCTCATTCCTTTCCACTATCTCAGCCATCATCAATATTAATTAATTCATAAAAAATTAAAAGAGTTTTATTTTATTTATTTAGTAAAGATTTGATAATATGATCTTCTAAAACATATTGTATTGTTTCGTTTTGCTCTGACTATCAAATACTACATGCAATGATGTCATGTTTAGTAATTTGATTAGTTTGTTTGTTGTTACTATTTCAAAGTAGTGTTTGTTGTGAAATATTCCAGGCAAACACAGATGTTAATAGCCTTTCTTCTTGTCAGCCAGGGTCAGTTTTGTTTAATCGTATTTTGTTGTAATCGTGCTTTGTTCTAACTTTCAGCAGAAAAAAAATTATAGCAAATCCTTTGAAAATAGGTGTTTCTTTTGAGCACTTAGCTACATTCACACTGTTACATAATAGTTTAACCACCACCTCTGTGTAAAGCTTTTCACAAAGGGTGTATTGTCTGTATCTCTTATACAAGAGCCAAGGTTCTCCCATTAACGGGTTTGTGCATTTCCAATAGGACAGTGTAACTTGACTGACACGTTAGGTGGTGCCAGTTACTGAAGCATTCCACTGAAGTTTAGTTGAAACTGTGATGGCTGCTGTGTGAAAGATTTTTTATGGCTTCCCTGTTTTACAATTACAGAATGGACTAACACCTCTCCATCTCTGTGCCCAAGAAGATAAAGTCAACGTAGCAGCCATCCTTGTTAAGAATGGTGCCCAGGTGGATTCAAAGACTAAGGTATTTTTTCCATTCTTCAGTTATTCATTGTTCGTTATTCATGACCATTTTATTTTGTGAATGATATTGAAATATTAATGCATGTGAATCTTTGTAATTCTTCAGGCTGGCTACACCCCTCTCCATGTAGCCTCTCATTTTGGTCAGTTGAACATGGTGAGATTTCTCTTGCAACAAGGTGCTGATGTAGACACCAGTACAAATGTTGGCTACACTCCATTGCATCAAGCAGCCCAGCAGGGTCACACTCTGGTTATCTCATTGCTTCTGGAAAACAAAGCCAAACCAAATGCAGTTACAAACGTGAGTTTTTAATTTCTAAGGTGAATTCACTTAAGGGCTCATCTAAGTAAATTGTTATGACCTGAACTTTGTGCATAAATGGAGTGCAATAAACATTGGGAGGTGTGAATAAAAACTTTATATTTACTTCCGAGTCTGAGGTGATCAGTTAAAGCATTTGCTACCAAGCAAAAGCATTTACATAATTTGGTGTGTAACCTCGTACTTTCATCTCTATAAATTTCCAGAATGGACAAACTGCACTGTCTATTGCTCAGAAACTTGGGTACATCAGTGTGGTGGAGACTCTGAAGGTGGTTACTGATGTAACTACAATTACAACCACCCACACCACCACCATTGAAGAGAAATATCGGGTGGTTGCTCCTGAGGCAATGCAGGAAACTTTCATGTCTGACTCTGAGGATGAAGGAGGTAAGCAGGATTTCAATTCAGAATAAAAATATTTTTTATTGATTGTTATTATTTAACTAAGAGTGACTTAAGACATTTGGGCTTTTTTTTCCACACTTAGCATTCTGGTTTTGTAATGCAAGGTTTCTCCAGAAAGGATCAAGAATAATTCAATAAAAATAAAAAAAAGCTACTAATTGTTTATTCTTTAAGATTTTTGAAATAATTTCTTCCTGAATTAATACAGCAAGCTTGCCAAGCTTTGTAGGCTTCTTGGAATGAAATAGTGAACTGAAATAGGTTTATGATCTCAAGGGCAGCAGCGTAGACACCTTCCATCCAACAATTGTTCCCTTTGGGTTAGATTTCAATTTTATAAACAGAAAGAAGATTGACTGGACCTCGTTTGGTCTGATGTTAATTAGGAGAATGTTGCCACTCTGTGCTTAGCCAAAAATTACTTCATGAATAGTGACCTGTGACTGGGTGTCATGTCATGGTGAAGGGTCCAGGTGTTGGAATCTTGATACAGATATGAACAACTTGTTTTCACAGTCCTATGCATTTCATTGATTCTCTTCCCTCATAGAACATCTTGTACAATTTATTCTTGATTTATGACGCTCTTGATTTTGTTGTGGATTCCTCTTATTAGGCTTTCCTGGCTTTCCTGGTTCAACTGCTGGATCTTTACTTTTTTGCATACTTAATACAATGCTTAGAGAAAGTTATGAAATTCTGAAGCGAAAAACTGTAATTTTTCAGCAGAAAAAATTTTATTGTGAATCCCTGATTCCAAAAAAGTGGATAATTCGTGATCCTATATATATATAGTAAATTCCTTCCTCTAACTCATTATCTAATCAGAATCCACGTTTCCAAGTCCTTGATACTGAAAAATTGGTTTACAGTGAAACATCCACCCATCCAGCATCTGACCATCCATCTTTGAACAACTCTAACAGATAAACTATAAATAGGATTTTCACCAAAATTAATATTGTCTGATTGATCTGGCTGATGTCACAGACCCTTGAATTTGAAATATAAATTTTTGAAAATTGCAAATGTTAAACATTTTTTGGTATCTTTCTACAACTAGAGTATTGAAGATGGAGATTTATCATTTGAATAAAATTTGCTCTTCAAAATTATGTTGGTATGGGGACATACACATTATTTTAAATAATGCATTTTCAGAAACGCTTGGAAATTCTCCAGAATGTGTCCAAATTTGTCAATTCTTAAAGACATATTTCAATTCTACTATTACCAGACCAAAATTGAGAAAGGCTTAGAGGCTGAACAAGGTCACACTCTTTACTCAAGGCCTCTCATCATCTATCCCTCCAAAAGCCACATTGCTCTAACCCTTCTGATTGATTAGAAAACTTATTTCAAATACTTTCTGGAAAAACCTTGTATTATTTATTTTTATTGTTAATCATTAACTGAAAATCATGCAGGTAAATTGTGGTGCTTTGTAGATTAAACAACTAACATCTTATGTATTATAAAACTCATTGATTGTTGTAAATACAACAGAAATAATTTCAATTGAACTGCAAAAGGAATGGTACTAAAATCTGCTTAACTACATTGTGTATAGTGACACCTTGTGTTTGTATATTAATAGTGTGTAATTTGAAACTGTTCATAATTTTGTATCATATTTTTTACTATTGTTCGAATATCACTATGTTGATTATTACAATCAATTCAATTAATTATTTATTTTTCTCATGAGAGTAATGATGTAAATTTTAAAAACTCTTTCAACACTTTTTCAAGATTTTGGTATGATGCTGCTTTATTTCTCTATTGGAAGGAATTAACTTGCAGCATTATATTGCTGATTTGCCTGGAGGTTATTTCTGTCTTCTTCAAAATTGATGGCATTCAAGACAATAATTATGTTATAGTAATTGAGTAATATGCACCCATCAATCTGATTGTCTGTTGCTCTTGGTTAGAACCTTTTCAGTCCACCAATTGAGACAAATAAGGTATCATTTAATACATCTCGGTCTCCTGCTGGGGATCTCCTCTGGGTGGATTCAGTCACAAGATTGTAATTAATTTCTCTTTAGTTGCCTAAAAACATGGGTTTTGTGTTTTTTAAGTAACTGAAATGCATTTTGGGTGACTTATGATACCTACAGAAGTGATGAATAACTGTTTTGATTCCTCTTGATAAGATAAAATAATTGGCATAATTCTTAGCCAGTTCCCTCTGGGATATTTTAGAAGAACACAGAATTTTTGATGGTTTTGTAGTTGGAGTTTTATGTGACCCACAAGTTCTTGTGAAATCGTGTAAAATATGGTTTCAAGGGAGACACACATGAGTACAGTTGCACATTTAAAGAAGAAATATAGATGACTAATTAAAGAACATACTAAAATTTTTGTGAAAAATTGTTTTTTAAAAAGGTTTTTGGATTTTAAAAAAATTCACTTGAAGAATATAAAATTTGAATTTGCATTTAATTAAACACTTAAATACTTGTAATCATGCTAAAATAGCAAGCAACAAAACATTTCTGGAAATATCTCTGGCAATCTCCTTTAAAACATTCACTCATCACTTTACATTAACAAAAGATACTAAAACAACTATCCATTGATCAAGCAAACACAACTGATTGCTAGTACTGCAATGCTCAAACGTCTGCCTATAATTTGTCATTTTAACTGAATAGTTTAAAAATAAATTACAGGCATTACTGACTATTATGAACAACATTGCATTCCTACCTGTTTATAGTATTTAAAAGTCAATATTTTGTCTATGATTTGTACAAATCTCATATGTCTCATCAATACACTTTACAGTATTTTATGAAAGTAATTTTTTGAGATTTCTCAGGGCTACTCTGTTGCATACAACCAAAATTTAATTTCCATTGGAATCTCTTAAGTATCTGTAGGGGTGAAATACAATTGATAACTTGTAATCACAATTTCCATTGCAGCAGCACTTGATAAGCATCATAGCAGCAATAAATAAGATTTTATTATCAATTGTCATTATTTATGTGGGTAGACTGATTTTATATCATAATTGTTAGTTATGTGAAGTATTGCACATATTTTTTCGTTGATTTTGTTGCACTTTATTATCATATTATTGTCTAATTCAGACCTGATAAAATCAGTAAATTACTATATTACTTTGCCCTTTAATTATTTTTGGTGGATTATATGTAATTTCAAATATCATCTTGTAGAGTACAATGTCTAGAGTCTCAAGAATCTTTGGGGATACACTGTGGAATTGATGGAGAAATTTGTATTGAAATATTTCTTGTGCATACTTTTTATGAGTAACATGCTGTCAATTCTATTTCTCTACAAGGATTCACCTGTTTTAACTGTGACCAAAATTTCTGAGTGAAATTCGAATATTGAAGAAACAAGGTTTCACTATACTTTCAAAGCATTTTAAAAGAGATGAAAAATTTTGCAATATTTTATTATTAATAATTAGCGCTATTTTTCATGAGAAAGAAGTATGTTAGATGTTGCATGGCTTTTATTTTTAACCAATGGTGCATAAGTGAATGTAATATTTCTTACCTGATTCTATTGGGGCCAGAATCATGACTGCATCGAATGGTGACCGGAAACGGAAATAAATTTGTGTGTGCATAGAAGTATGTACGTACGTACGTTCGTATGTACGTATGTATGTAAGTATGTATGTATGTGTGTGAGTGTGTGTTATCTTTTGAGATGGCTATTGTATTTTTCTTCAGATGCGTGTCTGCCCAAAGGTTGCTGCCCAATTGCAGAATGGCTAGAATTAGTTTTCTAGAATTATTCCTGCATAAAATGCAGGATTTGTACTTCATTCTGTTTAATGTTGTTCTCTTTAGAACTGGGGCTATAATAAGGAGTGTAATTTAAATCACTTCATATTTTCTGTAAATTAAACTACAATTAGTAATACAAAATTGCAGTGACAACTAAATCAAGGTGTCAAGCTGCATAATTTATTCTTCGGGACATGGAGACAATTGTAGGTAAATAATGTACTTACAGACAAGGTTGGTGATACTGAATCACTAATCCAATTTGCTTTATATTTCTAACATTGGTATCAGTTCTAGAATATGCTGGCTTGGTAGAAACTCATTATATGTTGCATATTCATCATTGTTCCTAATTAACTGCACTTTTTATTTTAAAATATACAAAAGATGGAATTTTTATTTATAATTTAATATTCCTGGTTTGGTAAATTAGAGAATTCTCATCTATTCTTTTAACAGATTTATAAGTGTAATATACGAAGTTCAAGTCAAAAGAATGTTTTTATGTACCTACTAATATGAAGCTTCTATTGACAGAATGAAATGTTGGAAAGATAACTTCACTTTAATTGAGCTTATTAATTGAATTTAAGTAGTGCTTAACTTTAATAAGCTTGACATTTGTATATCTTAGATTTAAACTAACAAATATGAAATTATTCCTCAATCTAAAATGGGTAACAAGTACATTAGAGTAGTTAATGTTTTGCAAGTATTCTTTATTCAAAGACATATCTTCTTGATAACACTATACAGAGTAGTTATTTTTTATTGTAAAGATACTAATCAGCAATTTGTGGTAGAAGAAATTACTAACTCAATATCTGCAACCTTCAGCTTTCTAAGTTTCGATTTAATTTCTGTAATATGATTCTTTGCATGTCAAGAACTTACTTTGTATTTAAAACAGGGCATGTTTAGTGAGTAAGGGTACTGAAGCATTTGATTAGTTGTCTCCTAAACGCTGGTTTCCCTGAGAGTATTGGGTGAGCAGACATAAAGTTAGTTACACAGACTACTTAATCTTCTACAAATTATTTAAAAATTGTGATTATGTTATGTACCATGGACACATTGGAATCTCTTTTTTTTTTCATTGAAAAAATTAAAATATCAAACTGTTTACCATTTAATCAACTTTTCTTCTTGGCATGAGACTGTGCATTTGGACCCTTTCATAAAACAAATATTCCTGATGGGAAACCCTTCTTGCATTTGCCCCTCAGAATCACATTCGCACAGTTTCTCACTCACTAAATGTTGCTTGGGAAAAAATGCATTGCAAGTAGGCATGTCTAACCCAGTATAATGTTGCCTGAGACACAACATGTATGCCATGTTCTTATCTAATAGTAGTGATAGTGGGTTCATTACAAGCTCCCACACATCTACAAAGGTACTTTGAACTGTTTACATTTCAAAGAGGAGGCTCTGATTGTTTGAGAATGTTCATTCCATATCATAAATGTGTAAAATTGAAAAACCTCCTGAAGATAACTGAAGTGAATATGAAAACAGTAATTAGACAGACAGCCTGTACCTTGCAGATTGTGTGGTAGTTTGCAGTGACATCATTCTGCAGGGAGTAGAATCTCTTCTGGGCTTGGTAAACTGATTGCTGGGACCTCTGTCATCTTGATCCCACACTCGCAGGTGGAGACGAAGTGTTGGACAGTGCGATGAATGTTTATGGGAAACCCACCCATGCCCAACACGTCTACCTGCCTTACTACCAAGGTCATATGCAGTACACGCGTAAGTCTTGTGTTCTTCCTGTGTTTCTACCCTGCACCAGCACTTCCTGTAATGCCCTTTATTAGAAATAGTACACCAACCTTAAAAAATCATGATTGCATGTCTTTAAATGCATATTTTTAAACTACCTACTCCTACAATGGTTCATGGATTACTACTTTAGTGGCTTTTGCTTGAAAGAGCATGTATTGTAGAAATTAGTACTATGGGATGTAATTTATATTGCATTGAAACAGTCCTGTCTTCAAAGAAATTATGCAGACTTTCAAGAATAGTGAAATGGAATTCAAAATATTATGATCCATGTATTTCTTTGTTTCAAAATAATGCATTCTTCTTTTTCTTTTTCATTGCAATTTTAATATTTCAACCATGCACCTGCCATTTGGAATTCTGCTTCTCAAAACTGAGCTTATTTTCTTTTGTTATTCACGAAATTTTGACATTGAAAATTCCATTTCAAAATCAAGAAAAAATTAAGAAAATATTTGCAAGTTGAGAATTACTGTTTTGAGAGTATCAACCAAAAAATGATTTTCTTTTCTTTTCTTGAAGTGTATGTGCTTGATGTGAGTGCGTGTACGTATGTCGCATATAACACAATTGCAGCACCCAGATGAAGTTTCAGTGCTTCAGTTCCACTTGAGTATTGCTTCATAATGCAACTATTGCTTATATTACTTTTTGTCTGTTAAATTACCAATAAAGATTGTTTTATGTATAGGTGAAGATCCCATGATGAGTGATCAACAGCAGTATCGCTACATGACAGTTGATGACATGAAATCACTTGGTGATGATTCTCTTCAGATTGATGTCACCAGGGATGAAAGAGGAGAATCAAATAGGCTCTCTTTAGGTAAAACATTATTTCATGGAATTTTTAATTGTATCCATTTTTAAACTCCACTATGTAAAGTCACATTGATTTGCCCAGGTATCGCAATAATCCATTCAACAGGAGTTAATTTCATTTACAGAATAAATGGAAATTATTTTACGTTATATATAAAGTGTGATCTGGCCAATTTTCATATTAACCAGTTAATGATAATGTTATCCAAATTTCGTGGAGAAAATCAGAAATAGGAATAGCTTTAAAACATATATCTGATTTAGCTGGATGAAGTTGATATTAGCCGACTCAAGATGGGTTGAGTGGTTAAAGAACTACATTATGGTGATGAGGAATAGCAGATATGTGATAAACAGGGATCAAACTGCCGAGGGAAAATTTTTAATGCTAATTAGAAACAAGGTGTGTAGTTCCAAGTGTTGTGTTGAACATAAATTACTATTATCATGATGAGACATAACATAATGTCTTCATTCCTCAATACTTCACTCTGCATTTTCGAGTTGGAAATGAGGCTCTGGTCTCTGGCCTTCAAGATTTTCATAATAATTTTAATAACCATTTAATAACCTAGAGACTTTGCTAAATGTAACTTCCACAACATTTTTATGCCAAACATTATTTATCCTTGCAAACACACGAGATGCTTCACACTTGGACAATCACCTTACTTTAGGCAGTGCCCTGTGACTGATATATTAGCCAGGTGAAGTATCATAATGATCTGTGCATCACAACGAAGTCTGAATATGTTACAGCTTGCCTCAAATATGGTTAATTCATGAATTGGTTGGTTACCCCCATTAGTCAGAAGATATATATTTGATGATGGATGGATTTGGTAGATTCAGACATTAGTTACAACTCTAACCTCCATAGTTCATTATTCATGCACCTACTCCAAAAATAATTGGATGAACATTATCTTTTAAACAAACTTTTTTTTAATTTCTAGCTCCATCTGTTGCAGTTAGTGACATTATTATTAATCCACAACATATTAAGGACAATTATCAACAGAATATGAATGTTGCCACATATGCTCCTGATAATGTGGATATTAATCGCCAACCTGTTCATGTTGGGTAAGTTCTGAAAACCAGATTTTTATTTCACTATCTGATGATGAAAAAACAAAATATGATTTTCTGTTGTTTATTTTTAATTAACATAGAGAAATTCATTTTTCAAAAAGCATAAACTATTTTTGAAAGAAGCTTAATGAATTATATATTTTTTATTAGTTCCTATAAACATTACTTTTTATTATGTATGTAACTATAAAAAATTGTTAATATTGTTGTAAATAATAACAGGAATGTTATTCCATTAATTACACACTCACTAACATGGAAAGGTACTAATTAGAATAGATTTCTGTGTATAATTTTTTTAAAGGTATTTATTGAGTAACATTCACAAACTAATCAAATAATACTGTGTAAAATTGTATAGCACATTGGAGAAACCTATGCATGTCCGCAAAGTATAATTTTAGCATCGTGAAAACTTGTACACAAAGTATTAATGAATACAGTCAGATAACTATTAATTTTCATCCCAACTTTTAATAATGAGTATTATTGCCTAATTTTGTATTAGGAAAGAGAGATATATTGAGGTGAGAGTAATGAAGGAAATCTTCTGTACTTTTTCATTTTCACTATTACTACCAAAAAGTATCAGCAAAAGGTGGTAAGAATTCATTGCAGATTGTTATGTTACCCTAAAAATGAAATCGTATAATTAGTAAATCAAGGAAAATATTTTCTGCTTTTCATCCCTTCAATTTAAAGTATCAGAGAAAGAATCCTGAAATGGTATTGTGCATTAGTACCTTATTTCCCTGAAATTGAATAGGTTGAGAAGGTATAATTGTTCTTGGAAAGAACAAGAACAAAATGCTGTAATAGCTAATCATTTAAACTCGTTCTACAACCATTCCTAAAAATCTTTTTAGAATTTTGTTTTGATCACGTTTGAAGTGTTAATCAGATTCTGAATCAATAGGTTCACAGGGTGATTTGTCATCGTTTATCTCATTCACAAAATTTATAACTTATTTCACAACATTAAATTTTACCCCTTGTATTCAGAAAAAAACAGACTTTGTGATTTAATAATTCTTGTTTCCTAAATATTTTAAAACAATTATTATGGATTCAGCATTAAATGTAAAGGATTTATTTCTTTAACATTTTAATATGATATTATGTTTACTGGAAAATGCATCCAATGTAAACAGCAGTCATTTAGTGTAAATTAATATAATTGAAAATACTTCGAAAGTGATTGTGTTGATTTTATTTCATTTGACCCATGGCAGTTGAGTTGGTGTTAATCTAAACATGATTGGTGTTAACTGAATCTAGCTCATTGTATTATAATGCTTGTGTAAGTACATTTAGTTTCTAAGTTAATTTGGAATGAATTTTAAATTTTGTTGCTTTGATTTGGTATGAATGCTTTTCCTCCACCTTTTAGTATTTTTAGTATACAATTTTTTAGTGTGCATGCTGAATGGAATGTGAAGATCCATGAAACATACCTGTATAATATGCACTGTTGTAAATATGATGCACTTTTCTTCACAAGTTTAATTATGAGAAGGTAATAAACAATATCACGAGCAGTACTGCATGAATGCTGTGTGTCAACGTCTGCTGCCCTTTGCAGATGTTTCGTTAAATATGTAGAGACTGATATGATTTATTTGGAATGATTTGAATGCTGAGTGGTGTATCCATGTTTGAAATTCTGAAAGGAAACAAAAAAAAATTCTTATAAATGAGCTTTGTGAAACATGCTTGAATGCATGTGCAACTTGGTGTATTAGATCAGTTTAAATTGAAGTTTGCTTTCCTTATTGACTTCTCTGAAAGCAGCTCTTCATATTTTTGATGTTTTGTTACATATATTTTGCTTGCTATAATTGTAAAGAATTGAAACATCGTAATTCTTATTGCATTTATTGTAACTTTCCTTAAACTTATAGCACGTTCATCTTAACAAAAACTTTCAAAAATTCATTTTCGTGTTGTTAATTTTTCTGTTTGTTTTTTTATTCTCATGCGCAGCCTCATATTAGACAGTCTAGATGATTCGTTGGCTTCTCTGGGATACATTTCCAATTCACCAGGAATGTGGAGGGAAAGGTATTCATTCCATGAAGTTTTGTATCACATTTTGGTGTTTTGATCTGCTTTTATTTACAACAGAGGTTTATGTATAAGTTTGTGTCATATTCAATTATGTACAAATTTATGATAATTTGAGTGATTGTATTCATTGTACTAATTTGTTTAGTAATATAATGAGCTGTTAAACTTACAATATAATTTATCTTATTTGCACTGCTAGATTTTTAATCACTTTCTATTTTGTGTATAGCACCAACTCTAATTGTTCAATGTGGTCTTCAACACAGTCAAACTTTTGCATATCATAAGTGGTGTGAAATAACTGATATGAATTCCTTATTAAATACTACTTCTACCTTTTATTTGAACAAATTCTTGGCTATTCTGAATTATTTGTGTGCAAGATGTTTGGGAGACATTTGTGTTGTCTATTGACCCGCAGAGGAAATCAAGAAAGCCCATGACTGAAAATAACGTTAATTCCTTATGTAGGTCATTTGGTAATTTTGTATTAATCTTAAGTAAAATAATTGCTTCATTGAAAGGTTATTAAAGAAAAGAAGTCTGCAATTATCAGATAGAATTAATTATTTATTTTTTTTGGAAAGTCTGGATATCAATTATCTCAAAAATTTTTGTGGACTGTACTCCTTGTTTTATTTCACTAACTGCATTTTATCTAATTTTTTATGTATTTGCGGTGGCACTCACAGAATTCCCCACTGGAAAAAGTAAGTGGAGTAATAACCAACGTGTTTGTATTGCAGTAGCAGACAGCCCAAGCGCTAGGAAATGCATGAGAATTCAATGTAGAATGTTTTCAGAATCTCTTCCCTACTAATTTATTAATTTTCTTCAGTGATTTATTATTCGTATGTAACTCAGAGCATGGTGTTCAGAGAAGTATTAGGTGCATATAACTGAGCAAAAAAAATGTTTTTCTTAGTTTAGTATAGTAATTAAATACATACTAAAAGTATATGTTTTAGTGAGTTTCTGCTAGCAGACAATTTGTTTTGAAAGACTTGTGAGAATGAAGAATGTTTGTCTTCTATGTTCTTTTTGTGCCATCATATTCACTCTTTCTTATTTTAGTGCTGAAATTACTATTTTACTAATTGTCTAAATCATATTTTTATTGTTCCATGTGTTTTCACAAAGCATGTTTCACTTTCCTTTATGATTCAATTTGTATACCTAGAATGTTTAAAAATATTACCTCTTGTACATTTGGTGTGACGGACCTTATTTAGTATGCTACTTATCTAAGAATGATGTTGATATCCACTTATGCTCTTAAGTCATTATTTATAGTTAATAAATTAGAAGCCAATATTTATTTATTTTTTACTTTTTTATGCATATCTCCATATTTTCCTCCTCCCAATTTTTGGGTATTAGTGAAATCCAGAAATGCATAGAAGCATGTTGCTTTAGTTTTATATAATCTTTTATTTGTTGCTATAGGGGAAGTTGGTATTAAATGGTTATATTGTAGATGTCTATTGTAGAAAAATAACCATTTTTAAATGTATTCAAAGATTTTTAGGTGAATGGTAATCAGAATAGAGAAAATATTTCAAAAGAGTTATTTATTTATAAATTATGCATGTCATGTATATTTTCTCAAAGAATTTACATTCTTGTGCTATTATGTAACTAAATTTATAAAATAAATCCAAGAATGGTGAATCATCTTGAAAGTAAGAGAATTGTTGCATATGTTCTTAAAAATATGTGAACTTCAAAAATAGTTATTGAAATTAATTTTAAAAATTGTAACTTAAGTGGCTTAACAACTTTGGTTTATTTATATTTATAATTATAATGGGAAATGTTTATAAATAGATAATATTTGGCTACCTCAACAAGATCTTTTACTGTTTGTGTGGAATAAATTGTGTAATTTTTGTTGATTAGTATTTAATGTTTGCTTACTTGCTTGACAGTTTTTTGGTCAGTTTCTTGGTGGATGCACGTGGTGGTGCAATGAGAGGATGTCGCCATTCAGGTGTAAGAGTGATTGTTCCACCACGCAAAGCTGCAATGCCTATGCGCATAACTTGCCGATACTTGCGGCGTGATAAACTTACCAATCCACCCCCACTTATGGAAGGAGAGGCCTTGGCAAGCAGAATCCTTGAGCTGGGACCAGTTGGTGCAAAGTTTCTGGGGTATGTAATGTTCGTTCATCATGTCTTGTAACTGCTACTCTCATTAGATATGAATATTAAAATTTTTTACTGTAAATAATATGTAAGAGAGAAATAATGTAAACTGGGAAATCTCTTTTTAGGTCATAGAGTTAAAATACATGTGAAAATTGCCTGAAATTGATGGATAATTCAAGATAGACTAAATATGTCTTCTGGGCTCAAAAGCTTTCCCAAGTTGTTCTTCATCTCTCTTACTAATGCTTATTTTTTAATTTGCCTTATTTTTTTTTTCTCTTGCACCACTAGCCACTGTTTATCCCTTATCTTGGTATTTTTATCTCCATGTGTGAAGAAGCTAAGCTCAAGAAGCCTTCAGTTTTAAAATATTTCAACATTTCATCATAGGATCAGAACTATTAATTTGAATATGTTATTTCCAACGTATCTACTCAAATCCCTTACTACCTTTAAGCATTTGCACCAATAATAATTTCAACTAAAGCTTTCAGAAAAGCAGATCTTTTATTGTGATTTTTCTAATGATAAACAGAAATTAGTTGTATAATTTTGTTTTCAGTCCTGTTATCATTGAGGTGCCTCACTTTGCCTCTCTCCGAGGGAAAGAACGTGAAATAGTAATTCTGAGGTCAGATAATGGGGAGACATGGAGAGAGCACACGTTGGAGGCTAGTGAAGAAGCAGTACAGGATGTACTAAATGAGAGTTTTGAAGGTGAAGGTAAGACATTTACTCAGAAACCAAAATATTATTAAACAAACAGTAAATAATTAAAATTAAATCAAATCTTGAAATTAATAAAGAGTGAGATTCCCAAGAGTGTATTTTATCAGTGAAAAAAATAAAGCACTTTTTGTCTAAATACCCGCTTAAAAAATTGTAATAAACTTAATGAGGTTACACTAAATTAATGAATACTTTTAAGTCACAATGGTCCCAAAACCTCTAGGTTGTAGATGAATAAAAAGTAAATTTAAAAATTAGTAGCCGAAGTAACTATAGTATATGTATTGCAAACATTTTCTTTCATAATTATCCTTTGTGCTCTAAATGGCTCTTGAGATAATGTGCAATTTTAATGAGAAAACATCTTATTGCAAGTTTTCAAAAATTTGTCACTTACGCCAGGCAGAGCAAAGATGGAGAGGATAGAATAACTCATGGGAAAATGTAATAATTTCTGAAGTTGAGAGTTTCAGAAATAGAACTAATTAGGTTCTTGAGAGCCAGTTTGAACTTGTATTAAACACCAATGAAGTGTGATATATTCCAGAATATGGGGATAAGTCTTTAATATCTTTCTTGAAAATGTATTTTTGTCTAAAAGAGATCAGAAATAAACTTTACGGGCACTAATAGTAAAGAGTTTCGCAAAGAATTTCACATGTGTTACTAGTAGTGATGTTGAGAAAATAAACATTAAATTTTGGCCAAAGATTAAAAACAACAAATAATTGTTAAAAAATTGTGGTGCAATCCCTCAAAATTAACAGTGATTACAGAGACAAATCTTGCAAACCCTTTTCCATGGCCCCCGCTCGCAACTTATAAAATGCCTGCCCTGAAAATAGTTATGTCTCTCTATGAAAGAATAATATACATGAATTTAATTTAATTGTGGAAGATATCAGCTTAATATATTTAACGTTTCTTGAAACATTATTTTCAAGGATCAAGTGTACTAGAAATCTTCACAGAATCAAATCTATCAGATTTTACATAGACTTGTTGTAATTGTTCTATTTTTCCATACAATCTTGACATGTTGAGCCTGTATTTGAATTTTTCCAGAGATGAGCCAACTTGAAGATTTACACACAAATCGCATCACTCGCATCTTGACAGCTGATTTTCCACATTACTTTGCGGTGGTGTCTCGAGTGCGGCAAGAGGTTCATGCAATCGGGCCTGAAGGAGGCATGGTGTCTTCAAGTGTCGTGCCTCAAGTGCAGGCTGTTTTTCCAGCTGCTGCTCTCACTAAGAAAATACGAGTTGGCATTCAAGTAAGTTCTCTTGAAATTCATAAATAAATCATCCTTTGTCATCACTTGCTTTCACAAATACTGGTAGTTTGTAGTGTCGTGCAGACGCATAGTGTATGATCCCAGGTATAAAAATGTTGCTAAAGGATTTTGGTGATCATTTCAATCACCTGGAAAATTAATAAAACAGACTATTTGTGGAAATTACCTTGATATTTTATTGGCTATTTTTTACCATTTACCCCTGTCTCAAAGTTACTTGCTGCCCCATATACTGTTAACCTCTCTATTATTTTCCTCATCTCTATCACACTGGATTCTCTGAAGAGCATTGTGGGATCAAAAGTTTGAGTCACTTTGAACATCTCTTCATCCATCACATTGATTCTTAGACAATCAATATATTTCTTTCTTTTGAATACAAACAGCCCCTAACATACAAACCTCAACTATGAGAATTCAGGGTCCAGCCAGCACTTTAATTAAGATAAAATTGAAGACATGTTTAACAAGGCTGCAAATATTGTAGAAAAGAGTGAATGCAGATCACCCACTAGCAATGAAGTCAATTCACCCTCCCTGAAAACAAGTCCTGAAGTTGAAGGAAGAGGAAGATTTGATTTCTCAAAAAAGATGCTCCTTGGCTTCCCAATCTCGGAGCAAAGTGTGCAATAGAAATTAAATATATAAAATTATAATTAACTTCTTATTTTATGCAGTAAATTGTTTTTTAAAAAAAAGAAAACCTTACTTTACCTTTGTATACCTATACTGTGCTTAGCGGAATATGTCATAAAGTAGCTATTCTTCTCTACTTACAAGTATTAGACTTAAGAGTAGTTTGCAAGTCCCCATTTGTCTCATAAGTAGGGGTGTATCTGTCTTCCTAAAATCTCTAACATGTTAACAAAGTTAGTTACTAAAATACTTTCTAAAACTGCAGCCTCAACATTGCTTTCCCAATTCTTGAACTGTGCTCCGTGAAGTCATAGAGATTAAGCAACTGGAGACAACATGGTTTCCTGGATGGGTGACTGTCTGGGGGGAACCCTAGGGATCTAATAGGGCTGAGCCTGTGGCCATAGGGATAAAAGGCCATGGCAGATTACGACTGATGTTGACTGTCTAGATTAAAGGAGGATTACACCACTATACCAGTATATGCCTCTGTAGAATGTTGTTATGAATTAATGTAACAGAACTTTAAAAAAGTCATAATTTATTTTGGTTTCAGGCTCAACCGATTCCTGCTGAGTTAGCTGCAAAGTTGCTTGGGAATCGGGTTGCTGTATCTCCTATTGTCACAGTGGAGCCTCGGCGACGCAAGTTCCATAAGCCAATTACTTTAACAATACCTGTGCCACAAGCTGCCAATAAAGGCATGATAAATCAGTATTCTGGAGATGCTCCAACACTCAGACTCTTGTGTAGTATCACAGGTAAATTTTTGTGCTGTAATGCACTAAATTTGTTTTTTAATTTAGTATATTATTATCAGATTGTTGAATTATTTTTTAATATGGTCTGTGCTTAATATCAAGTATTTTAAATAATAAATAAAGTAACTCTTTTTGTAAATTAATATTTAGAAATCATAAATAAAGAACAAATATTTTCAAAACAATCATTTAAACAATTATTTTCAAAGACAAATATTTCAAAACCATTTACTGCTGTTATCAATTTAGTTTGAGTTAATAAATAGTATTAGATTATGACTTTTAATTGAATGTAATGCTTTAACTTCATTCCTACATTTATTGCACAATGTATCAGTTGTTTTATTACGTCGTAGTACCTGTTTTAATACCTGTTACTGAATTTAATGTTACCTTTTTTGTAGGTGGAGCTACTAGAGCACAATGGGAAGATGTAACTGGCTCCACACCTCTCACTTTTGTGAAGGACTGTGTTACTTTCACTACGACAGTATCAGCACGATTTTGGCTTATGGACTGTCGAAATATAGCTGATGCCACAAAAATGGCCACTGAGCTATACCGAGAAGCTACACATGTTCCTTTCATGGCTAAGTAAGGAAGAAATGTATTTAAACCTTAAAGAAATGAACTATTTTTTTTTCACAAGCTGCTTCATAAAGTATTTGGGATTCATAATATAGAATTTTTATTAATTTAAATTATTTTTTTGTTAAAATGAATTCAGAAATACGAAATATTTTTATAGCCACAGCAGATGTTTATAGTGCAGTTAATGTTAAAGCCAATTACTCTTTAATTAAGAGTAGAGAATTTATTGGATTAAGTATCTATTGATTATAGACAATTTCAAATTAATGTTTTATGGCCTGGCAAAACATTTCAGACAGATTTGTTTGCTTCTTCAGATGCATTACTAAATAATAAATAATACTAATGTATTTACTAGGCTGTCCGAGTGACGCCGCATCCATGCACCTTTGCCATGGACGCGGCTTCACCCGGACAGCCTAGTAAATACTGACTCCAGTCACGGAAGCCTACGCTCTCAAATAATACTAAATTAACATAAATTTTATACAAGATATAATAAATGTAATACAAATTTGTCTGAGTTTTTTCAGAAGTTTCAAACGTTGCCACAAGAGTGATAAGGATCAATAAGGATAGAAATTCTATGTTGCATGAATAAAATAGGATTAAATATAGCTTTTTTTAATGAGTTGATTTGGATAAAAATACAAATTTATTATCTCAAAGAAGAACATAATTTGTTATAGGGACTATGTTCACTACATTTAGTTACTTCTTGGATAGTAATTTTTATTATATTTTTAAGTATTCTGCTGCAAAATATGACTCGGGTAAACAGCTTCATTTTGAATGCTGCTGATTCTTTCAAAACATGATAGAATGAATAAAACACTATTTTTTCGTTTTTCCTGTAAAATATGTTGTTTTGGACTTGGGCCTTTTAACAAACAGCTATTCAATCATTTATATTGGTACCATTATGGTATAACTTTCTGTAATCAAATTAAATTGAAAATGTAGTTGTTTTAACATGGAGTTCTAGGATTGTTTTGTTCTTTTATCATATTTACTGTAATTTTGGAACAAACTGAAGCAACAAAAGAAATAAATTTAGCAATTGAACTCTCTTGCAGGTTTGTTGTATTTGCAAAACGTGTGGATCTTCTGGAAGCACGTTTACGTGTGTTTTGTATGACAGATGACAAAGAAGACAAGACATTAGAACACCAAGAGCACTTTGTTGAGGTTGCAAAGAGCAAAGATGTTGAGGTATTTGATAAAAATATAATTGTCTTAAATTTATTGTGTAGAAAAAATTATCTTACACTAGCTGAAGTACCCTGCATTGCAAAGTATATTTTAATCGTAATCATCTATTAGATGAAAAGCAATGGATGCATCTAGTGTATCCTTTGCCTTGAACCTTCCTCATTTCAATCTTATCCTACCACTTCCCACCTGTCCAGCATGGAACCCTGTCCCTCTTCACTGCCCACTTCTCAGCATTTCAGTTTCTGCACCACCTGCCCTGTATTGCTTGCACTTCCATGATGCATACTCCCAGCAAACTTCGAGTAACATTTACTTCAAATGTAATTGCATAGTAGAGATTAATTAAAATGTATTTAATAGGAAGTTTGATGGTCTTTAAGAAAATTTGTATTCACTTTGGTCAATTTACTTAAATTTTGCTTTAAGGGGCAGAAAAGGGAGATAGGGGTGGTTCGATAAAATATTGTGCAGACAGAAACTTCTTTTATTTTGAAGATCGTTTGTACAAAATTTCAATGAGCTAGGAATAAAACTAAATACATATGAAACAATTGCTCTTCTTCATATAAGAGAAAGTATTAATTTTAAAAAATAGCCTAAGTTGTGGGCAACAAAACACTCTACCTTTCAATAAAGACTGCATTTAAGCCATTCCAAAGATTATTCTGAGCAAACAGGCAGACAAAAATCATAAAAGCAATTGAATATTTTTTATTATATAAATAGGCATAAGCAATATAAAACAGCAGTTATTTTGACATCACAAACAGACATTCCAACTTTATTTTATTACATATTAAGTTGCTTTTAGATCCACTTTTAAGTTTAGAGAGTAATGGCAACATTTAGTTGTGAAAGTAATTAAAGACAATATATTTCATCCAGAACTAAATACTCCAAACTAAATGGAATTTTGTCATCTTGAGAAAACAAAGGTAATGTTTTTGAAAGTTCTCTTGACTTTCAAAATTTATTACCATTTATTCATCACAAATAAATTTTTTTGATTTTAACACTTTGTAGGTATTGGAAGGAAAAACACAATACATTGAATTTGCTGGTAATCTAGTACCTGTAATGAAATCTGGAGAGCAACTTCAGCTGGGCTTTCGTGCCTTCAAAGAAAACCGCCTCCCGTTCACAGTCCGGGTAAAGGATCAAGATGAAGATACTGTTGGAAGGATTCTCTTTATGAAAGAACCTAAGGTACTACTCCTTTGCATGTAATGTTAATAATGATTGATTACATAGCTAAACAATGTTTTATTGAAGTAGGAAATTTTTATTCCCCAAAATCAAGAAAAGTCTTATTTAATTCTGAGAAAGGGGATCTATAAACAAACAAAATATTATTGATTATTTAATTAACATTTTACATACAACCATCTTATTATTTTTTAATCTTAGAATGAATTTTTTTAATAACCGCCATTTTCAGGTGGCAAAGGGAGAACCTGCCCAAACACCCATTTGCACCCTGAACATTGTTCTGCCAGATAACATCATACCTGATGCAGGTCCATCAGAGCCTGATCTTCTGGAACTCGAACGCAACTACAGTTTCCTGCGAGATGGAATTAGTGAGTTACAAAATTTTAAATATGTTTTATTTCACTGCTGCATATATAATACTGCTGCATACTTAATCTAGCATGTATTCATTCCTTTAGAATATACATTGAAATAAGTAGAGCATTAGTTTGCACTGTGTGATCCAGCGCTATCCAGAGGGTGACCAGGCCCTTAAATATTAGGCAGCAGCACTAATTATTCATTAACATTCCAAGATCAACCTCTGAATTTGAAAGAATGTAAATCAGAAAAGGTGTACAGTAAACATATAACATTTCCATTCCTCTTTTTTACACTTACCAATTATGACCTTTTCAATTACTAAATAACAAACAAACTAAATAAAGTATTAGTAAATAATTTTAAATAATAATTCAGAATGTTATTGTTGTGGTCATCATTATCTCATATTATTGAATAATTGAGAACAGTACCCTTCAAAATTGTAGATCACTGATGGAATGTGTACACATTTATATTTGATTGCTGTAGGACTTGTGTAAATTGGAGAAAATTTAGAGTGGTTTGAAATTGGTGTTATAAATCTATTTGTTGCAAGCAATACATTTTTTCTTTTTCAGTCAATAAATTAATTCTTGTAGGAAGTTGATTTTGGAATAACTGGGCTTTAGAAGTTAATTTGTATGATTCTGTTAATGCTTTTATATAAATAGCTCTTTACAATTACAAAGAACCAATTAGTCAAAATTACTTTTTGTTGAATTCATTTATCTTAAATCTTCTTGTAATTCTGGTAAGTATTAGCCAAATAGTATTTGACAATAAAAGACACTTCATTATTATGCATGAATATCTATATTAATATAGATTTTGAAACTTTGAAGAGATTAAATGTTTTTAAAGAAAGAAAAAAAATAAAATATCAGAATATTTACAAATTGACTTCTTACTCTTGTCAGTTGTGGTTGTTTAATAGACACAAAAATCTGGTCCCCTTGCTTTTGCTCACATAATGGCTTTTGTCTTTGAGTCCTAAAAAGATCTCACCAATCATATTTTTTATGCCTATGCTCATACAGACAGTCATGCTCGAAAGTCACAATTATCTTTTATATTTGTCTCAGATGATCAAATTCCCTTTGGTAAATGAGCATTGTATTTTCAGCCATTTTTTTTTAGAGGTGGAAGATTAACTTTAAAGTTTGAGAGTGAAAAACTAACTGGCTTTTAAAAAAATCTTAATATTTAATTTAAACATTCGCATGGCAGTTTGTTTGTTTTTCTGTTGTATTGGTTAAAAGTTTATTTTATTTGCATTTATTATTGGTTTGTGATAAGCATGTCATTGATAATGTTTTTTTATGGCTGAATTTTAGAAATATTAATAAAAATATCCCTTGATTTCATTTTTTTAAAATAAATTTGATTTTAATTTATCATAAAATAAAAATTATGAAAATGAACATCATTTGAAAATTGTAAGATGTTTAATGTAATAGCTCAAAAAGCAAGTTGTCTATTTTACTACTTGTTCTTACCAGTTATATGCACAATTGCCAATTGCATATCTATTATCTTAGAAACTCTACAATTGAGAAAAGGTTACAGCCAATCAATAAGTTGAATGCTGCTCATTACATAAAATAACTAAAAATACATTAAATTCAAAATACAAAGTTAATTTAAAGTGAATCTGAGCATCTGAGTGTAGTGGTATTTTCCTGTACTCCGACTGAATGAAATGCTTTGTAAGTTGTTTGATTTTTAAAGCATATTTTGCTTGCTCTTTTTTAAATTAATAATTTTTAAATTGAAAAGATACTCTGAGAAGATAAGTTTCTTTATTGATATTAACTTATCTTAGGTCAAAATGTTTTATTCTTCTGTAATTGTGGGTAAGGTAGTCAACTGTTATGTGAGCAAATACAGTCTCTTGTACCTGGATCATTCAGCAAAAGACAACCAGGTAAGAACCACCAAGTGATCCTGTAGGTCACCCTGATGCTATCCACCGTGCTGATATTCGACTATCAGACATCAGCAACCTCTTGGGTGCTGACTGGGTGCCACTGGCCGAAGAATTGACTGTGTCCCCCTCTGACATCAACCTGATCCAGAGCGGATATCCTGACAATGTTCAACAACAAGCTATGGTGATGCTGCGACTGTGGTTGCAGACCGCAGGCAACAGAGCCACAGGTAAAAGTGGCACCTTTACCGTTCATCATTCATTCAGGTTCTCTCTCTTCTCTGTATTTGCTCACATGCTGCCCAATTATAGGAACAAAGAAAGTGGTATCCATTGTTGGAAGAGAGAAACCACACATTCTGTCACATTCTGTCTTTTCGGAACTATTTGAAAGAAATATTGATTAGTTGTTTTATTATATAAAAAAATATTGGGATATCAATTCGTATTTTGTTGAAAAATTATTATTAAAAGAGAGTGACTGTGTCATCAAGAAAATTTTTTACTTTTGCAATTTTCGTTTTGATGAAAAGTTGTGGTTCTTGATTTTGTTTCAAATTTCTTTGAACAGTGACTTAATTAAGAGACATGTGTCAAAAATAGCTGCAGTAGAATTAGAACGAAATTCAAATAAATTACTTCTAAAAGTATGTTACTCAATTTGGATTTTGCAAAACACACTTCGGCAAACAGTCATAGGTGCGTACACAAAATTGCCAGGGAGAGCATGGCTTACCTAAAACTTTGAAAGGGGTGTCCATAGCCTTACATAATAAAAAATTTATTTCCACTATTAAATATGTTCAATCACTGATTTTCATTTTTTTTAACCAGACAATTTTTGAGTTTGCTATTTGATATTTGAGGAAGAGGCTTTCTAAGGCATCTGGCAACCTGCATACAGTTCAACATATAATTAAAAGTATCATTAAAATTATAATTTAATTCCACTTGTGTTATTGATTTATTTACTAGTAAAATGACATATGTAAACAAAACATTAGTGGAAAGAGGCACAGAAATGTATTGTCCCCCTCCACTCCTTTTGTTTTAGGCAGTGCATGCCTATGAGTGTTATTATATTTCTTAATATAATAATGCCTATGAGTGTTATTATATTTCTTAATATAAAAATGCCTATGAGTGTTATTATATTTCTTAATATAATTTGTTCCATATAATACTTTTAGATTTCACTTGGTTGTGGTATCTTTTCTATTCTAGACATTATGGAAATTATAAAACCTCCTGTTAGTAGAGCCTTATAATTATTCTCCAGAGCCAGTACACTGCTTGTGGTCTCTTTTAAATCGAATGAATTTTAATGAATTGTGTATAAACAATTTCGAGTAAAAAAGTTAAACAAAATTCTTATTGACAATAGATCCTTTAGATATAAAATGGTCCTTTTGATAAGAGGAATTTCTTATCAACAATTTCAGAAATAAAATTAATATAATATTAATGATCAGATATTCCACTTGTCTTTCTCATATTGAATTAATTTTGAGAATATATTATAATATTTTGATAAAGAACTTTGAAGAGTAGACCATAAACGCTCATCAGGAAACAAAATTGAAAAAACTCATTGCTTTTACTATTTAAAGAAATAATTTCTAATGGCTCTTCATTCTATTTCAGTGAGGTTGTGATGTTTCCAACTTTTCAAATTCTTTTATTTATAATTTTATTACATCTTATTTCCTCTTCAGAACTATTCTGAAACACAACTTTACTTTTTCTCAATGCTTGTGATACCAAGCAAAGGTGCAAAAGTGAAAATTCACCATAAGTATGTGTATTTGACTCATCTTATAATTATTGCATCTGAATTAAGTAAATTTAGGAATGTACATAAATGTGAAAATCTGTTAAAATACATAATTGTAACAAAAGTTGTATTCAGATTACAAATTGATTTTCTTCAAGCCATGCTATGTTAGAGAATGAACGTTCTGGCTTGTATGAGTTAATGCATGATGTTAAAACACTTATTATGAAATTTGTAATTATCAAATGTATTGTTCAATTATCTTCTTACTTATGTATCTTCTGTTCTTTTGCAAGCAATAAATATTTTCCCTTTTCTTTGCTTATGTTAATGTCTTTAATTTTTAAGTGTACATCATTGTGTAAACGTTTCTTTTCATTTTGTAACATATGTTTATTTTTAGGTTTTAAAAATATTGTTTACATGTTATTTTAAAGTTGCTCCAAATTGTGAACAAGATAATTTACTAGCTATTTTACAATTTTTTAAATGGTCAAATGATTCAAAAAGACTATATTCTATTTCATTTTAAATTTTGATTTCAAAATTTGCATACCTTGGCAAGTAATGTTTTGTTTGTAAAACAGATCTTCCTGCTTGTAATTTTTTCCTAAAAATAGGTTTCTTCTTTTCTCTTTATGTTTCCATTTATTTCTTCTTCTTTTACATTTTCTTTGGGACTTTTATCTGTATTTTCTCCCATAGCTATGTACACATATCATAATGTTTTATTGATTCTTTCAGTTATATTTCTTTCCAAGTTGTTTTCCTCTTTTGGAGAGAAGAAAAGAAAACTTGGGTATTGTCTAGAATGATTCCATATATATAAAGCAGAATTAACTTGTATTCACTGGCGACCCCCATCTCTGAATAGAAAGAAAAAATGGGAAATAATATACTCAATTTTTTTTTATTGTAGGAAATAAACTGGAGAAGTCCTTGCGCAAAATTGGTCGAGAAGACATTGTCAACCAATGCATATTCAACATTGAATTGGTGACAGATGATATGGAACGAGCTGTTGCCAAAGTACAGTTGGATCAATCTGGATTTGATAATCTGAGAGAAGAACTGGGACCATCTCGAGATGCCACTTTACGTCGCAACACTAGTGTAGAAGGACATTTCGATGAAAGTGACTTGATGAAGGTTTGCAATTATAGAAAGAATTATTATTCTTATTATAACATCCTCTATAAAATATAATGTAATTAATAATAAGTCTGTTGTAGGCTCTAATTTATATTATGTATAACTTCATTAAAGGCAATCATTAAAATTTAAGAAGTAAAAATCTTCATTTTTTTGAACTTAAGGGTTAATTTTCATGTTATATTACTGAAATATTGTTTAAACATTTTTTTAAATACTTTTATGCTTTTGATTATTCTTGGGAAATGTAATATAATACATTTTTTATGAGATTTAGTAACAATGGCAGATTTAGCATGAGCATTATTTCTTGCATACATACCTTACCTTTTACAATACTCTCCAGCAATAAGCATACATACTTTAACAATACTCTGTAATACTAATAATCAAGCAGGATTACCTATTTCATGAAGTTTATAATTCTGTTTTTTTTCTTCCCCCAGGAATCAGAATCTGTAGAAGACCTTATTAACAATGAGGAAGAAAACATCAAGAAAGGTAAAGGGGGGGGGGGGGAATCATTGTAATTGAATGATAAGTGACCATTAATTACAAAAACTAACATCTCACTTTTTAAAAATAAGTTCATAATTTTGAAAGATTTTTAGTATATTTCAGTTTTCTAGTAAAAAAATTAAATTAGACAAGTGAGAAAAGAGAGTTCCTCTGAAGGAAGTACCACAATTATGAGAGAGAACTTATAAAATCAAAGAAAAGGGGTTCTTAATTATTTCCAACAAATTGAACAATTTGAAAATATGTTTATTTGGAAATCTCAGAAGTATCTCCAAACTAATAGATACTCAGGATAGTGAAAATCCAGGAACATATAACGATAAACTATCTTTATTTGATCTTCTATTGCAGATAATGGTTCATAAAATGGAATTCTTTCATTCAGTAAAATTATTAAAAAATATGTTGATATTAGAAAATAAAATGAGTTATTTAAAAGTACCATTTAAAATTAAAATTATATTTGCATACTGATGCATATTTGCATTTCTTCTTAGAAAAATTTATCTTTGGAAATGCATGTATATAATTTTGCAGAATCAATTAATGGAGTGAGTGAAGAAGCTGGAGATGAGCAACAAAAGTATGCTGGAGAAGAAAAAGAACTTGGAGCTCCAATGGAGGGTAAAACCAATTCTGTAAAGGAAAATGAGAAAGAAGAGAATGAAGGTGAGCCTCCTATACAGAATGAGCATGCACATGAACAAATCAAATCCCAAGAAACCATCGAAAACAACCATAAAGCATCTGTGCAAATTGATAATCTTCATGGCAGTGATATATCTCGGCAAGTTGCTGACATTCCAAATAAGCAAGGTGAGTAGTTTATTGCAATTGTAATATCTAAGATTTTTTGTTACTCAAAAGTGCATGGAAATTAATTTCATATTATGTATGATTGTATGTAGTATGTGTGGGTGAGTCAGAAGCACCCAGTTAGTCTTATTTTTCGAAAATGGGTAAATAGTTTCATTCTATTTAAGTTCTTAACTTTCATTGTACTTAATTTTATTGAAATTATTTTTTTTTATTGACACTATAAATGGTATTACTTCAAAAACTAAAACAAAAATGTATTGCACATCAAATTTAAAAAGTTTTCAAGCATTATTTATAGCTACTCAGAATTTTTAATTTCTTCTACATAAGAAGACATTTTTGCCAAATTGCTACTCTTATCTTTCCTCTGTGTAATGGAATTAAACAATGGTTGGGCACAAATGGCATCTCTTTGTGAGCTACGAGACAAAAGACAATATTTAATGTAGGATTAATTCAAATATATGCTCAGTGCTCAAAAGATGGTTAAGAGATGTAATTGAAAAAGAGTTGCAACAAAATTGAAAACAAACAAAACAGCAGGTTAAAGAAAGTGTTGTTTTACTGGATGAGCGGAAGTGTATAAATAAAAGAAAGTAGTGTTAATACAATTGAAAACTAATCGAATTAGTATAAATGACATGGCCTCCCTTTATATATATTCTCGAGTTCACAAGTTCTCTCCCCCCCCTCTTATTTTCCAGTTTCCTTTTCAAAAGATTGCAGTTTAATTTTATTCCATTATGTATTTACTGCACTTCATATTTTTCGTATTTTGCGTTCTTTCTTAAATTTAAAAATAGTTGCTGCTTGTGTGGGCACTTATTGGGATTAATTTTTGCACCTTAAAACCAGTATTTAGTATCAAGCAATAACTTTTTGTTTTATTGATTTCTTTAGGTTTCACTAGGTTTAATACCCCGCATCAGTTTTTATTAAAAGGTAAAATATTGAAATTGTTTTGGTCAGGAGATTTTACTTAAAAGACATGCATCCCAATTATTTATAAGCATTTTTTGAACCACAATCTGCCTTGCTGTCAAAGAGATTCTTAAATCACCAGTCCTTACATGATGAAACAAGTCATAGTGCATGGTGAGACCACTATAATATCTGTTGCTAATCATTCACAAAATTAACTGATGGCTCCATCCAAGTTAAACATTCCTACATATCTATTCTTCTCCGAGATTGTTTGCAGCATATTGTATATTCAAAGAAGAACAATAATAAACCAGTTTGTGGAAGAAAAATACCAAGGGAACACCAGTTAACTGACAACATTTATAAGAATAATGAATGTAGCAATACTTATTTGAGTCCATTTCATTTGTGAAACCTTAATGCTTATAAAAATTTTTGTTTATCCTTAATGTAAATTGAATTAAAGAAAATTAATGTCCATATTGGAAAGATGTAGAGAAATTTTGCCCTCCTAATTCTTTTTTTAATGATTTTTTTATGCATGCATTATCAATGAAGTTGATGTCTGATGTGTTGATAATTCCAAAGTTGTTAAAATTTTGAATATGGAATCTTTTACTTTCTTGTATATGTATGTATATGCAGAGTTATATACATAGTGTAGAGAAACTTGCGTAATGCTGTGGAAAAAATCAATTTTGAGATAAGAGTTAATACGCACATTTCCAGCTATTCCAGCAATACATTATTGCATTTCTGTGTAGAAGTGCTTTGAGTGACTTCAAATGATGTTTTTGTAAAGTCATAAGTTTTCTGCGTAAACCAGCTTAAAATTTTGCATTTACAGTAACGCTCACAACATTTTCTTTAGACTCCAAGTTTTTCAACAAAAAAATTCACAATAGGACGAGGTTTTACTCTGCTATAATATTCTTAAAGTGATATTTCATTTATACAATTAGAAAAACAAAAAATTGAGAAAATTTATTTAAAAAAATGTACTTTACGTGATGATAGATTGCAGCTGGCAAGAGGATAGGACAAGACCGACAAGCAAACCCAGGCCAAACAAATTAGAAAATTAACTAGTATGAGAAAGTCTGTGCTAGTTTATTTACTTATTTATAAAATAGAATTTTGGCTGATTTACTTGCATTAAAGAGCTCACATCTCTCTGTTCTGAACTGAATCAAAATCCTATTATGAAATACGTTGTTGGGAATTTGTTCTTTATTCGTAACATTTAGGTTTTCAACTATGAAATAAACAAGTATTAAAAATGTCACTTTTTTTATGGAAGTATTAATATCTTAAGCAAGCTGTAAAAGACTAGGCCGACAATATATTCAGGTTTATGCATTAAGTGACCGTGAATGTCTTTAATTTCACTGATAAGTTCCTATCAGCTCTCCCTGAGATTTTCACTCACCTATAATAACGATGCTGACAACCCTCCAATTCTCAAGGATAAGTCTTGAATTAACTTACACAAGTTGCAATTTACTGAATTTGTTTTTTGTAAAATTCAACATGCCCAATGTCCAACTATCAACAATAGGCCAATTGAAAATTTCCTTGGATTTTTAGTTATATTCACTTGAATTAGATGTAATAACATTCCCAAAATCTTCCTCAATTTTTAGTCAACCTATTTCCTATAGCAGGCTGCTTCTGTTGTAGTGTGAGTTTTCTTGAATAATTTGTCATTATTATTCCCAGACTATACATTGAAACATTATTTTTTAAGTAACACAAGCAATGTTTTTTTAAAGATAACAATAGTTTGTATATCTGATGAGTGCCTATGTAATAAAGAATGAAGTTGTAATATTCTCAAAAGTGTAAATCTGTCATTTTTGTATATAATGCAGCAAAATTAGGGTGTGTCTTATAAAACAGTATCTTTTCAATTGCATAAATCAGGTAAATCTAGTACAAAGTACGCTTGCAGCACTTAAACCAAGATTATTTAAATTGAAAATTTCTGCATGAACCTTGTGATTAAAATATTTAATATCTAAAAAAGTACTTCTTAATGGCTTTAATTTTAATTTTGCTGTTTCTCCTAGTTTTTGTACATTGTTTAATCACTTTCAGTGCACTGCACCTCTTGTGTGTTCGTTTTTGCAGAAATTCCATCTCCACAATTTTCTCAGACACCTCCACCAAGTCCAGCAGAGTTCCACGATCACTTAGGTACAAATGCACTTTCACTGGGTTTAGGCTTATGATTGTTAATGATTATCACAACACTAACAAACAGTAATGTTATAAAAAAATGGTTGTAGATTGCTTTATTGGTCTTAAGTATATGATTATATGGAAAAGTGTACATAATTAATGGTTTCTCATTAAACCTTTATGGAATATAAATAAATGTGTAACTTTTTAAACAAAATTTTAAATTATTAAAAAATGAATATTTGTTTTATTTTATTTATTATTTATTTTTTCTTGGCATGTTCATTTTATTATAACAATTTTTGGAATGTTGGTTAATTTTTCATTTGAAAAATGTTCACTTCCTAGAAATTTTGATATAATTATACTAATTTTTAGGAGTGGACTATCCAGGAGAAGCTTCTCGCCTTGCTGAGTCTGAAACATGGAGATCAGAAGAATTAAACATACCTTTTCCACAGAAACTTCATTCTGCTAACGAAGGTAAGTTGCACAGGACCCAGCATTTAATTCATGATGAACACTGCTTATTCTGCTACTTTTTTTGACCCCATAGATCTGAGATCTTAGTTTTTGTAAAATGGATAACATCTAGTCATTTCAAAATAGACTAGATTGCCATAGAAATATTTTTTATGTGAGAGGTAATGTGCATTTTCTTGTCTTTGGCATTAACAGTGAAATAGCAATATATTTTCATTTTTAATAGTTTATTATGCTTATGCAATAATACAATAGAGTGGAAAATGTTTCTGAATTATTTTAGCTGAATTTCTAGATATTCTTTTAAAACTTTTTTCAAAACAAATATTGAAATGAGGGAAAATAGTAAAGCTTTGAAACAATAAATATATTTTTGCTGTAGTAGGCTATTGATTGTTCTTTTGTTAGCAAAGCAAATATTTTCCCTCATTATGTAACTTTTATTTGGTAAGTATTTTTTGCATACATGTACATTACGGCAGGTTTCTCCCTTCAGATATAATCTTGTTTTGACATTTTAAACTTTTTTGTCCTGTCCCATCAAGGTCTCTCAGAGGGCAGTCTGCAGCAATTTGGGTTGCATGTTTCTGGTTGCACTGCACCTTTACGTAGTGTTGTAGTTAGCTCGCATGTTGACCACCTTCCCACAGGGGGTCTGCATGAGAAGGGGAGAGCTGCGTCCACACCAATCGTTAAGACCATTCGCAAGCACTCAAGACCAGCACGAGACACTGTTCAATCTGCCCCGATGCAAGATGTGGAGTGGGATTTTGGATCTGATGATGAAACGCAAAATCAAGGCAACGTCTTTGTGAAGACTGTCCGAACTATCTATGGGGATCCTAATGTTTCAGAAAGCAATTCAAGTGTACCCACTAGTAATGTAACAGTAGAAACCATTGCTGTTAAACACATACCCACATCAGCAGAGAACTTGATTACAGTTGGAGCTACAAATGATGACACAGTACTCATCAACAGTGTATCTGATATATCTGATGTGGATATATCTGAAATTAAGTCGGAGACACCTGTCCCAGCTGTTCGCCAGAGCATACCATCTAAAACTGGTGATAAGCTTTTAGACACTCTGAGTAGTGCTGATTTGTGCTCTGCTGCCAAGGACCTTTCAGATGCATTCCTTCAAGAAGAACGACTCAATTCAGATGCATCCTCTCCTGTGCTAGACGGATGTCGTGTGGTTGAATATTCATCTACAATTATTAGGGGAAACGGAGATGTAGCTGGAAGTGAGTCCAGTAGTAGAGTGTGGCAGTCCTCAGGGACAGTGAATAGTGATTCTGACAGTGAGAGCCATGGTTCACCTCTGCCAGACCGCAGACTGATGCCTCGCCGCAAGACTTTGGGCAGCTCCAGTGGATCTGATGTCGCTCTGCATGAAGGCAACGAGCTCTCGGATGATGACCAGCCTCCAGGTACCCAAACCTAAGAGTCTGATCTTTTGAGTTATCAACATAGGAGTTTAAAGGTAAATGGGAGCAAACTAAAAGATGTAAAGGCAGTGTTGGGTGAACCCAATATGTGTTCAGATAAATCATTTGCACAGTAAGGTGATAGGAAATTTCTGTAGGCAAATTTTGTCTTTCATGTGTGGATGCATACTTTCAAAGCAGAAGGAATTTAAACGAAATTCTTTCATTGTGGAACACCTATCTTATCTGCAATTTCAGCAAGGTCAACGTGTCTTTAGAAGGCAAGGCACCAAACTTGGAATTTCATATTGAACCCAATGCTGCACTGTATAAGAGTGCACCTGCATGAACAGATGGTCATAGAAGGCATTTATGCAGATAAGTTTATAAACCAGGATTAAATGTAAATATAATCATGGAAAGAACTAACATTAATTTAGGACATTCCATGTGCATACATTGTGATGTAATATAATTTTAAACATTTATAAATAATAATTAGTTTAAAATTAATTGCTTAAGTGTTGTAATCATTGTTTAATTGAGTTTACTACAGTGTAACAGATGTATGGAGCTAGAATTAGACTCCTTTATGAATCAGAATTGTATTTTTCCTAAATGTTTGATGTTCCTAATATTGTGATTGTAACACATTTATTTTCACATTATTGCACTTGGTGTGTGCATTGGTCACTCATACACTTCACTAGTATACATGTAATACTCTTCATTTCATACAGAGATTTAAAATTTATTTAGAATATCTTATACTCCTCGTGCACTTGCGATTTGTATCCCTTGCTCATAAGTTCATTCCAGTGGTTCCTGGGTATTTATCTACTGCAGTGGGCATATCCCAATGTCTTTAATGATTGTGAGAGATCTACATTTCATAAGACATTTTCATCCTTTTGTAGCACATTTTCAACCTTCCCTTAGTAAATAATTATACCTCTTTATCTCAACCATTATTCAGTAAAATCCATTTTTATGAATGCCTATGCCATCTGTTGACTGCAAGTTTAGCACTTCTTAGTTACTATCTTTTAGATTCCTGCCATTTATTTTGATTTTTGTCTATGACTTTTTATGTGCTATTCCCTCTTTCCAGTTCATTTTGTAAATATTATATAATTTTTGGTGTTGGCTTGTGTAGATACTTTTAACTTTTTCTTTTTGTGATTTTTCTCTTTCAATGCATGAAGTAGTGCTTTTTTCTGGAATTTTCTCATCTTTTTGCTGTATTTTTGAGGAATGGCTTTTTGAATTGTTTTCTTTTTGCATTTAGTTTTTGGTGGCAGCTCAAAACTGTCCAAATTATATTTTTTTCTGTGAGCATTACACTTCATTAGCAAAACACAACTAGCATCAGTAAATCATGACTTCATCATTTTAATTGTTTCTGTATCAGTTTACGTATTTTGCCAGTGGAAGGAATAGCATGTATGTATGACATACTGCACTACTACTATATTATTGTTAAAAATGTATAGTGAAAAATAAGTGCTTTGCTGTTTAGAATATTGGAATATTCTAAAATGTGCTAGAATTCAAGAATTTGTGTTGTTATAGAAAAAATTGGTAGGTTGTACATTTTATCTTCTTAATATTGAGCACTTCTTTAAGATTGAAGGTTATATTATTATAAAATTCTTTTTATTTGTCACAAAATGTGAAAATGCTCATGTTAAAGAAAATTGTACAACACTTGGATGTCCTGCATTGTATGATAAAAGAAGAAAATGAAGATGGTTGAAAGTTTTTTGATATTAAACTTAGTTTGGAATGTGGTTATTTCACTTTCACTGTTGTAGAAGTAGAATATTTAAGATGGTTTGCAATGTGTGTGAAACTGTTTTGAAATGGATCCTTGAAATCTATTTTATTTTCTCATAAAAGTTGTGAACCCAGTTTTATTGCCTACTACAGCTGCTGTGCATCACACCAGCTCGTGGCTTGGCATGTGCCGACGCTGGTTCATTCCAGCTTGCTTCCTGTTGGCTCTATTAGCTGCTGTTGCGCTGCATGGTTCTTCCCCATACACTCTTGTGATGCACCGCTACCTCCCCCATGTCGTTGCTGCCCATGGTAATTTTTAGATCCCCCCTTTTCAACAAGCAACACAGCTGCTATAAACATTTAGTAAGAGAGTATGAACTTAAATCATTGCATGGAACACATAGAAGGGAGAAACTAGCATTTTATTGCTATATTTATTAAAGCTTATTTTTCTAAATATTTTCTTCATAAAGCTTACATGTACATCTTTTTGTTATTGAACATTCCATCAAATATAATAATATTAGAATTAAAACACAGTTATTGAAGAAAATGAATATAATTTGTAAAGAATGCTTAGAAATGCCCTTTCTTTAGTTGCAAGACGTTTTAGTAGCAGAAGGAATTCCATCATTTTCATTTTTTAGTTTGTGATAGCTTATTGTGGTGTGTTTTAAATGACTCCAAAAAAATCCTCAAGTTAATGAAAGAATGCATTTATATATTCAAATACCCTTCCTTCACTGGCCTGTGGACTGATCAGATTGTAACCTCAATGAAAGTTAATATAATGCAACTCTAAAATATTGGAAGTGTACTCTCCAATATAACCCTGCAACATATTTCTTATAACAGCATGTATTCAGACTAGCTTTTGATAAATTTGAAAAACACTCACCAAAGTAAGTGGAAATGTTTGACAATTGCCTGAATTGATTCTGATTTGTAACACTAGTAGAAATTGACTATTTCTTTTAAAACATTTTTTCTTCCTTAAGTTTTTTTTTTTTCTTTTTATTTGTCCAGTGTCTTTAACCTTGTCTCAGTAGCACTTACAAAATATTGAAAGTTGCCTGAATTTTATGATGTTTCTTTTTGTGTATTGAGCTTGCTTTTATGAATGTCTTTTATAGCAACTGTGGTGCATATATTTTTGTTCTTAAATTTATAATTTCTCTATGTTTTGAATTATACTTTCTTCTAGATACTATGTAGTTTGATTTTGACTAATTGATCTTTGAATAATGATATCTTTGAAGAGTTATAGAATTTAATTTCATGACATGTAAATATCTAAATATTATCAGTTTAATTACATTAAGATACGTGACAATTAAAAAGTGTACAGGAATTAATGTTGGGGCATGTGGTTGACTATTTTAATAAAGCATGTGTATCACTATGTACTCTTCACTAAGTTTGTGTGGGATACACTCTTTCAGGATCTGATTACTTCCAAGGGCAAGAACAGCCCATGTTTGAAACCGTTACAACTACTGAATATGATCCTGAAACACAAAGGAAGTACGTATGAAACTTGAATTTCAATGCTTTCTCATTTTTTATCTATAATTTTCTTTTTTAATTCTAATAAACAAATTATTTATTTGCCTTGTAAGTCTTGTTCTTGGTTGCTGATATCATTAGTCTTGTAATATCTTTGCCGAATCTATAAAAAAGTGATTTATTTTTCTTTTTTCTATTTGACAGAATTGTGACTACTACACACACTCTCACATCAGGTTCTGAGGAAATGGCTGATGGACTGAGGCAATCTATGCAAGAAATCGTAGATAAGTTTATGACTGATGAAAGACAACAACCATAGTTTCCCAAATTTGATTTCCCCATCACAGGACTTGTTTTCACTCATTGAGTTAGCTATTAGCTTTTCAAATTTACCACAATAATTACAAAAAGGTGCTCAGGACCTGGTATCTTTACTGTAATATTCTGTGTTGGGGTTTGTGCTATTAAGTGTTCTAGCGCTAAAGTCAGAAAATGCCTTTCCTCTGCTGCTTATTAGTCTTTTGTGGCAGCTGTTTCTACAGGTAGTGAAAAGCATGTAATATATTGATTGAAGAATGATTTGAGAGTTTATAATTATGAACTCTATTTAAATTGATGTTTCAAGTCTTCAGAAAGAGTGAAATAACTTCAAATCTTTATCTTTTTCATTTATCTGAAGAGAAATATACATTATGTAAATATGCTATCTCTGAATACATGAAGTTCTCTATTTTGTAAAGAAAATATAAGCACATACAAATGTATATTTTTTCTGTAGAAAATTAGTTTTCACTCAATTATTTAAATATATCTAGAAGCAAATCATTAATTCCAGAATTGCACTAACAGTGGTCATATTTACTTACAATGAAATATTTCATTTGTGGACATGTTAATGTAAGCTTAAATAAAATATATATGATTACATAATATGAACATATGTTTGTCCTTATGTTGAGGTAAATATATCAATAATTTCAGTTAATGGAAAGCAGGTGCTGAAAATACTGTTGCTTCTTCCATTGCTCTGCTCCTTCATGACTTTTCAAGATGGTTCACGAGTTGAGTTCTCTTAAGTAGGCAAACTGTTAATAAGATTTTATGACACATCTAGGTATCACTAGTGCAAACTCTAATCTTTTTATATAATCAGAATGATATTTTGTTTTCATTGTGCATTGTCTATCACAATCAGTATTTAAATAGAGAAACTTAAATTTGCTGTGTAGGGGCCTTATTCAAAATCTCTGTGGAAAAATATTTGTTTTATTTGTTAGATTATAATGTAAATGCCATCAAAAGAATGTTTAGTTTAAAAAGACGTTTTAAATGAAGTTTTGCTATGTAACTGGTCTAAATTTTCATTGACTTTTAAATGAATATGGACTTATATTAAAATAATTGCTGTCTCAAAATGTTTGTATGCTAAATAATATGTCGCATCCTACATGTAGACATTCCTGTCTATAACTATATAGACTATTGTTCACTAAAACCAATGAGTGAAAACACAGTCATACACAATGAACAATTGTATTTTTTTCATGTTTGATAGGAAAAGCAAAGCTAAATTATTTATCTAGGATGAATTCACAATATAATTAATTTGAACTTAGTGTGCTAGCCTGTTCGTGTATGTTCCAATCAGAACAATTTTTCAGCAGTGTATGACTGTTTTCCAGGGTTTGTGTACTGCCACTAATAATATTCCATTTTCAGGGGCCACTTTCTATGTTTATCTTGTTAGTGTTATTGTTTGTGATAGCCTTATTAGTGCCTGCACAAATCTTTGTAGCTTCTTTTATTTTAAAAATTATTTCTCATAAGTAAAGAAATCCACCAATATTCATATACTAAGAATTTTAATGTTAACAGTTATAAAACTTTGCTGTAAGTAAAATTCCTCAGATAAAAATATTCATTCTGGTTGCTGTACAGTAGGACAAATTCAAGGGGAGTGTCAAGAGTCAGAAGGCCGGAGCCCATTTATGGGCTGTCGCGCCAAGTACATACATAGTGTCAAGAGTAAGAGGAAATTATATAGAGGATCAAAGTTAATGTATGACATTTTATGCTAGAACTAGGTAATGTTCTTGCCTCTGGATTAATGCCTAAAGATATTAGCACGTCCGACCTAAAACTACATTATTCAATTGCCAAATATCATAATACTTTGTTTGTGCATTAAAAAGAATAATATAATGAATGTTCACATCTTAAATATTGTACAAATATTTGTATATTGTATTTTCAGACTAAACATAAAACATTAACTTTGAATCTTCATTAAAAGTACTGTATTACTACATTTTTCTTTTAATACAAAGAACAACTCTGTAATGGAAGCTACAATTTTAATTTTTTAAGTGCCACATTGTTGTCTACCATAGTTGCATCATCACAATTTAATTTAATAATTTTAAAAATATCTCGTGTTTGTATTAGTTTGGAAGAATTTTGGGTTGAATTACATATCAAGAACATGGTAATTTAGTTTAGAAGTAAGTGTTCTGCATTTCTTTTAAAGCTCGTGTATTTTTTATTTATTACTTAAGCTTCTATTTTTCAGTCACTTTGAAGTTCCATTATTTTGTTTTGAAATATTTCTTTTGTGCAATTTCAAGTGATGAGCTTGGAACAAATCATTAATAGTATGTGATGTGGTGCAAGGAAACACAATATGTCTGCATTTCTGTTTGTAAATTGCAATAAAACACACTGTGTTATTGATTACTCTAATATTTTTTATAAAATAAAAGTTCCTTGAAGATCGTCAGTCTTTTATGTTATTGCTTGTCATACAACTGCTTTTTAGAATACAACTTATGTGTTTAATGATAAAAATTAATGTATAATGATATACTTTACATATACATTAGTTACACAATGTACATTAGGATTTACGATATATTATATTTTACACAAACATGTTTCTAATTCTTTTTCTGAAAAAGAAAACAACAGACCCCATAATTTGTATACTGTAATATCTTTATTCATGGATATTGCATAAAATCAAATATTCTGAGTGTCAACTGGGTGATAGTTATGGTATTTTCCTTTATCTCTCAATTACAGCTTCGATAGATTAAAATACTTCGATAATAATACATTCATGATTTGAGTGATTGTTCTTTTTTGAAATACTCTCTGTTGGTAGTTGTATTATAACAAAGGTTGAAGGAAATATGAGCCATTAGTGCAAACTTGCATGTAGGATGAAGTTGGTGGTTATAAGGGTTAATTTGGTTTGGGGTAGGGTTTGTGCTGGTGTGATAGTGTGTAGGAAGTATTGCAAGTTGGCAGCACTATTGAGTTTCAACATAAGATCAAATAAAGTGGGTAACTAGTTCTATGGCATCATTTTTTGCTTCTAGGAGTGCGGATCAGTTGCTCTGTTTCTCAGTACACAGCTGTGTTGGTAGAGAAGCACTTTCAGAAATTTTAATGTCAATTGTCTTTGTGCTATGAGAAATGCAGATGAATAAGTGTTGAACTCCATTGCCAACCTGGAATGCATTGTAGCCGTTTTTGAACAAGTCATTAGTTTTACATTCTGCCCTTTTAACCTCACCCTTCTCTATATTTTGAACACCTGTGCTCCTGCATTTTGCTCTGCCTGTGGAAAGGTGCTCTTTGCTTCTTTTGCAGAATTCTAATGACCCCTGAACAACTTATTAGCTGTGGACCAGAGGCGTAATGTTTGGGCCCACCATGCGGGCAGGCCCAGGTAAAAGAGGGTCTATGTTTACACTGAAGGTTTTGTGGTTGTAAGAAATATTAATTTCTTAATACTTTCTATAACACTTTGCAATATTTGGTACAATAAAAGATTAAGAATTTGCTAGAGGAACACTTTCTTCCCTGGTACCTTGTGTAACCCTGTTTCTAAATCAAAATAATCTGTTTGTAACAAAGGGGGCCCGGACAAACTTTTTATGGGCTGTTCTGCACTCATTTCATTACACTACTGCTGTGGACAGAGGGACAGAGGTAGTTGGCTACTACTTTTATGAATAGTGCTAAGTGAACTGTACAAGATGACATAAATGCTATTTTGCTTTATTTGTTTTCTTTTCAAAAGGTATGCAAATGTTACTTTTTTAATATCTCTCTCACATCATTAGTAATTACATTACTGGTGATTGTATTCATTATTGAATTTGGAAATAAAAGTGCTTCAATTGATGCTTTAAAGCATTATTGCCTTTGTGAGTAAAAGTGCTTCAAATGTTTTCCAATTAAGTTTCTTGAAAACTCAAAAGTTTTCTATAAAAATGCACATTTTTAGAAACACTCAAATGACATATTCTTAAAAACAGTACTGTTCTAAATTTTTCAATGAAAATTTTCAAATAAGACCAGGTTTTTCTCTTCTATAATGTTCTTAATGTCATATTTCAGTTCTACTATTAGAGGACTGAGAAAATGAAAAAATTACCTTTAGGTGGCTATAGATGTCTGCTGGGAAGAGGGTGGGGCAAAACCAAAAAGCTGGCCCAGACTAGAGAGATTAGAAAGCTTAACAGGTATGAGAAAGTCTGTGCAATTTTGTAACACTTCTAGATTTTTTAATTGTACTGTACACAAATACATGTGCACATTCTTATTATTTTTTGTTATAATGATTTTTGTTGAAATGTGACTTATTGATTTACTTCTCTCCAGTACCGTTCTATTTCTGCGCATAAGAGCTGTTGTGAGCCTCTTTAAATCACACATAAGGCATGGGTGGGCATTTTCAACACATTTGTGGTGTTAAAGACATTCCATAACTTGATGAATAAATATGGAGTAGAAAAATAATTTTCTACAATTGTAAAAAGATTTACAAGCATTAAAATTATATACTCAAGAAAATTACCTGAAATCAATTCTAAACAATTGATGATTTTGTGGAAATTTCTTTTAGTATGTGAGGTAAGAAAGGGAACAAAGTATTCCAGTGATCAGCAGAGCAGACAGTTGCAGTGAAAAGGCAGCTACAGATGGCAGTGAAAAGGCAATTTGTTATAGAGACATTACATATCTGTTTTCAAATTGAAGGATCTAACCCCAGTACAATAACAATATTCAAAATAGAAACCTTTACAGTTGATGTAGGAATTATCAGAAAAAGGATCATGACAATCATGAAAAATAAATCTGTAGGTCCTTAGTGGAAACCAGGAGATATACTAAAACTAGGAGAGGAAGCCATGATTCCTACCTAGCGCAATTAATGGATGTAACCATAAATAATATTATGATTCCTCAAAATTGGAAAGATTCAATTATAGTGCCGATTGACAATGGTGGAGACAAAAGGATTGATGACAATCACAATTTAACATTAGTCATCTGCAAGCAAATGGAACACGTGTTTGTGGAGTATATTAGATGAGATTGGAATAAAACCGATTGGCTATTTCAAAATCAACATGGTTTTCGTCCTGGGTATTCATGAGACAGCCAGGCTATTCCTTTTCGCCAGGACATGGCAGATCCACTTGATGAAGGGAGTAGGGTTGATGCAAGAATATTAGATTTTTCTAAGGCAATTGATTTTGTTCCACATGGCCTTTTAATTGGAAGTTGTCAGAAACTGGTTGAGACCATAGAATAACCGAAGAATTTCTTAAGGGGCGCACTCAAACAGTCAGGATAGGTGATAAACATTCATCCAAAGCCAATGTAACCTCAGGTCTCCCAAAAGGGAGTGTATTAGGGCCATTGCTATTCTTTGCGTTCATAAACGACATTGCAACAAGAATAAAATAAAAATTAGATTTTTTGCTAATGATTGTCTTATGTGTAGGAGTATTAGCTTATATGCAGATAAAATTATTCTACAGAACAGTCTAAACTGTTTATGGAATTAGCCATGCAGAAACAAGGTAGAATTAAATCCAGACATGAGTAAATCTATTTGCTTTACCAAGTCTTCACACTCCAATTATGAGTTAGGAACTAATGTTATACTAAGTATAAAATACTAGAAGTATTTGGGCTTGGTCCTGCAAAGTGACTTGGGTTGGTCAGATCACATTAACAATATGGGCAAAAAATCCTGGATGGCCGCGCGCTTCAAAATGCATATTCGTAAAAACAGTACTTCAGATGTAATTCATAATCCTTTTTGTATACCCTACACTTGTTCATCTTATTTCAGAATATGGAGCAGTATGCTGAGATCCTTACAGAAAAGACCAAATTGAGGCATTAGATAAAATTCAAAAGTTGTCAACTTCTAATTCTAATTGTAATTGTTTGTAATAGAGTTCAAATGTGTGTAATTGTTTGCCACCAAGCATTAGCACAAAGCAAACTTAAATAAATTTATCTTTCTATCTAACCTTATGTGTGGTGGTGTAGTGAATAACATGCATGGTTGACTCAGATGACCAGAGTTGGAATCATGGTGCGGAGAAAACATTTTTACTAGTTGGAAAAACATTTCCAGGTTCATTAAGTTGTATAATATTGTGTAGTCATTACAAATATTGTGAGAAAGTGTGTGCTTTTGAAGATCCACTTATTATTTTCTGTATTTCTGAGGACCAGAGGAGAAAACATTTGTATCTCTTATAACTATTCATAAAATTTCAAACAGTTCTTCTCCAACCTGCTCTGTGGATTTTGAGGGCCCCAGATAAAATAGATCCCTGATGTTTTTGAGCTTTCTTTTATTTATCTTCTATTAAACTGCATTCACTCTTTACCTAATAATTTCTTTCTTTTACACCAATTTTATTTCTTCGTGTCCTATAGAGATATGTCATACGTTCTTCTACATTTTTTGTCTTTGACAGGCTATGAACGTCTCTCGGATGTTTGTAGGCATCTAGAATGTGCTTTTTAATAACATTAAAATGCCGAAGTGCTTCTATTTTTGCAGGATTTTGTAAATTTTTCCAGAAAATGATTAGATATTCATACTTGTATACATTATCAATTACGTTCAGAATGTCTTTCTTTGTAAGTAGTGTTTGTGCTGTTAGTGACATACAATGTTAAGAAGATGTATACAGATGTCAAATTCACAATGATTCTCAACATTAGAAATCCAAGAGTTTTTGAAAAGTGGATCAGAACTGGATTCTTCTGATGATATTGACGATTTTATTCCTGGACTCTTGTCTAGTTTGAATGATGAAAATTATTAAAACACTGTAGGCTTTCACGGCCGGCGTTATATTCTAAGTTCTCTTCCGGGCTGAAGGGACGTGGTCTATTGGAAGACGTATTTCCAGACGTTTCGTCTGCAGCTGTGGCAGACATCTTCAGTGGCGGTGCGGTCTTGGGCGGTTCAGTCAGCGGTGAACCACCGAGGAGAGTTCTTCACGCAAGACCGCACCGCCACTGAAGATGTCTGCCACAGCTGCAGATGAAACATCTGGAAATATGTTTTCCAATAGACCACGGCCCTTCAGCCCGGAAGAGAACTTAGAAGATGAAAATTATATCGAGGAGAGTGATAATGATGCTAATGATTCTAATGTTGAGTCTTCTCAAATTCAATTTCATTTTTTTAGAGTTTTCATTTTCTTTAAAATGCTGTGAAATGATAAACAATCTGAATGACCATTTATTGAGAAAACCAAAAATTTCCTATAAATGAAGACTCAATGGAACTAGGCTATTTTTCATCGTTATTTTTCATCGAGTTATTTTTGAATTGTTTTTATCTCAAATGATTTTTTCTTCTGCCACAACATCTTTTTCTACACTCTGTTGTTATCAAAAGAAAGCACCATCTTCACAAGAAAATGCATTTATAAACATTTTTTTAACTGCTCAAACAAGCAAAATAATATATTTCTTGACAGAGGAAAAACAGGGTTATAGAATAGAAGAAAAGAACAATTTTTAAAAAAATATTTTTTTTTTTAACTCCCAGGTCCCCTTCTTTGTGTATCCCTAGCATTGCATTGTTCAGTAATGAAAGCATTGGACAAATTTATTTCAAAATAATTTTTATTAATGTTCATCAACAAACAATTGTCTTATGTATGCCACACAAAACTTACAAAAATATAACATCTGATAATTACACAGGTAATTTTAATAATTTTTCATTACATTAGTTTTCTTTTGATACTCTTAAACTTTTCTCATGGTTAACACTTCAGGCTTCAGTGCCAGTTACTTGGGTGGAATGCACAAGAACACCAAGCAGCAGACACTCTTCCAAGCGAACTCACCAGAGGACTGGTTTATAGTCAGCTTTTCATTTCAGAAGCCATCAGCATCAACTGTACAAAAGTTCTCATGTTTTTAAAGGAAATAAATGCAAGTATTTTTGCCTAATGTGGCTATGCAACTTAAAAATCTCATTTTTATCATGTATTAAAATATAACTCATACAGACAATACTTGAGAAACAATAATGTGATGTTTCTGAAAATAAACATAATAAATGCTAATGAATCTTTTGAGATTTTCATATTTTGTTATTTAAGGCATATCATTATAAAAACTAATTCTAAATTTGTTTTTATATACCTCTTACCACGAAGAATTTTTATCAAAATCATTATAATGGTAGTATTTATATCATTTTTACAATTTTCAAAGGAATTTATTTAGAATGAAGAATGATTGTTAATGGTAGTTTTAAAATTTGAGTCGTTAGATAAAATCTAATTATTTCTTCGTAATAACCGTTGAATATCTCCTCTGATCTTGAATGGGTCAGTACTCGCATCGTATCTTTTAATAGGTTTTCCAGTTTTTGAAATGAGGAATTTTTCCCAATTCCAGCGAACATCTGCATGTTCAAATCTATTGTAGGTGAGACTGTGTTTATCAGAGAAGTAGTTGCGTGTTGATGGACAGCGACTCTGCAAAAATATCAAATTACTTTTAAAATTTTTGTTATTTTTATGCTAAAAATCACTTCTTTTTTTTGTAGAAGTGTTTGTGGATTTGACAACAAATAATTATTTTTGTTTTATCAACCTACCTTAAGATATGTAAACAGAGGAAGTTCTTTCTCTCCATTTACGTCAATTTTACTGAACATTTGGAAATTGGGTTCGAAACCATTTCCAGGTCTGACATATTTAATGCCATTCAAAATTTCACTGGCGTTGTTACCTGGTTCTTGCTGAAATTGTATAAACTATATTATGCATCTGATGTAAATGTAACAAATATTAAAAAAATCTCCAAAATTAATATAAGAAACAGAATAATTTTTATTAAAAGTTATATCTTTAGGGGGGTAAAATAAAAGATGTGATAAATTTCTTTTCCTCTTCTTGAATATCAAACAAGGAAGGATTCAAGAAAATTCATATTACACATGCATTCAAATTTCTTATTGTTTCCTTTTCTTACCAGTTCGAATTGATTGCAAGGAAACCCAAGAGCAACAAAGTCCTGCCCCATCTCCGACTGTAGTGCATTCATGCCGAAGTAATGGGGAGTAAAGGCTCAGTAAGTTGCTACATTTGCTATCAACACCACCTGCAAGTTAGATGACATTTCAGTTTATTTTTCTAATGTATGTTTTAAGGGAGGCTTCAGAAAATATTGGGGGATGGAGGCATTCTTTAAATTAAGGAAGCATCATACAAGATTGTTACAAGAATGGGGGTAAACATTCAAATTATCAGGAATTGTTAATACACAGTAATAAATGTTTTTAACAAATAAACATAATCGTTTGTTTTTTTAATTCATACATTTTCAAAGGGAGAGCATGCATCCCCTTAAATATGTGGATTTTTCTTGCTCCAATAAATTTCTTAAATACATGATGAAGTCAGAATCCATGATTAGTTGGACCTCAATTTTGAAAATTTTGTTTTTGGCGAAACAACTGTTGGCTTATCAGTCAGGGAACACCTGTGATAAAACTATCAATAAATTTTTCTTCAAATAAATGTTCCTTGATCAATCTGCTTTTGTGGAGCCTTTCCACAAACCCCAAACCCCAAAATTTTCTTAAAAATGGCTCTTAATATTTTCTTCAAATTGTTTCTATAGTAGAGCAAGGTAGTACCAAGGAGAAAGCAGGAGATGAGATATTTTCAACGCTATGGAAAAAGCAAACACTTAATTTGTACTATGTGGCCTTATTTACGTCACCCGATGAATGACTGTGTTATACATTAACATTGCATTGTTGTAGTTATGCATTAACAATGTTATAGAGTAACATTTTCTTACAAAATCAAGTCATGGTTAGCTTTTCACTACAAGTATTATGTTACTGCGGAAGCAAATCGTGGTACTGGTTAAAAAGAAATCCGTAGGACCCAGCATGTGTTTGGGCACAGGTAGAAGATGCTCTTGCCTAAGGGGGCCACACAGATGATAAAAAATAATCAAACAAGTTCTGTAATCAATTGTTGTTCCCTAATGAGAAGTTGGAAAAGCAATATAAAATCCTCTGAACCCAAATGGAATTTTAATCCCATCCTCCAATAATCTTTTACATTTTGTTTGCTTACCATCATAAAAGGATTAACACATTTTAATTTTTATATTAATTTTTCAGAATAAATTATGACACAATGACATAAGTTTTTCAGACAATACTTAGGGGCTCCAAATCTTTGAGAGCTTCGGGGCCTAATCTAGCCGAAAGACAGCCCTGGTAGGACCTGATGGTTTCCCTGAGAAATTATATGATTGCGAGGGGAGCCGCGATTCTGAACCTTGCGAGAATTATTGAAGTTACTACTGATGATGATAATATAAGTCCATTTAATCGCTAAATGGGCAAGGCCTCCAGTCAGAACACAGGGCTGGTTCTGCTTCTCTCTTTAGGTGAGAGTTAATATTAATAATGGCAACATTCCTAATGTCTGGGGGGAAAAAAAAAGAAACTAGTAGTTCGTATTTACAATGGCGAAGATCGTTAATGTTTAATTATTGTCCAATTAGCTTAACAGTAGCTAATTAACTCGGTAAACTGATAGAACATCAAATTGCCGACTACTGTTGCGACATGCAGAATGGAAAAACAACCTAGTTGAACCAACGCTTAAGACCCGGCTATATTTGCGAAAGTCGGCTAACTACGTTTGTGAAGCCATTACCGATTCACTCGATCAAGGAGAAAGTTGATGCAATCATTATAAACTTTTCTAAATCTTTCGATTTAGTTACTCACGACAGATTTCTTAATAAAATTTCGAATCGGAAGTACACGCGCGATTAGTTACTTGGATTAAGGAATTTTTCCGCTGTCGTACACAGAGTTCGAATTGAATATCTATCCGACGCCCGGTGTCGCTCAGGGAAACGTGTTATGAACGCTTCTTTTCTCTGTGCCGCAATTCGATTGATACGCAGACTTTTTGCGGATGACTGCATCCGTGTATCGGAAAATTAGAGACAAATCCGACATAGATCAGTTGCAAAATGATTTTGACGAAATATTGAAATGGTCCTAGAAAGCGGAATGGAAATATATTCAGATAAAAGCAAAACAACTAGATTTACGAAGGCTCATAAGAAACACTGTGTATTGACACAACGGGAAGAAATAAAATTACTGAGGCACGTAGCTGTAAAGATCTAGGCGTAATAATTCGAAGCGACCTCAGCCGGACTGAACACATTTACGACATTTTTATGTGATAACGAGATCAAAATTACACACTTTCTAAAACTCTGAAACGCCATTTTATCAACAAAAAAAAAAAAAAAAAAGCTTCAAATTTTTTCTTCAACCTTTTCGTAGGAATAGTGCAGTATTTAATATACCATAAAGTTTGTTGTTTTTTTTCAAAACTTAAACAAAGTATCTTTTTAAATATCTCTAAGGCCGTTTATATACAAATTTACAGCGATTTGTATACGTTATTGCATTTGAGAGTGGAAGCGTATAAAATGACTTCCAATGAAGTGATTCGAAAACTCAAACAATTCCTATAAAAAAGGTCTTCTAGTTTCGTTTTCACAGTAACGCTTAAACGCTATTTTCTTAATAACGGCTCCAAAGTTTTCAATAAAAATTGACATTTAGGAGGATTACTCCTGTAATATTTTTAAAGTCATATTTCCGTTATACTATTAGGAAACAGAAATAATGAGAATTTTTTAAAATGTACTTTAGAAGGCGGTAGACGGCAGCTGGCAAGAGAATGTGGCAAGGCAAGACCAAAGAAAATATAAAATCAATACGAGAAAGTATGTGCCATTCTGTTACACCACTAGTTTATTTTTATATTTGTGCTTTTGTTTTCTTCACTGCCACCTAGCGGTGCTCATTTGCAGCAGTAAATAATAAGTAATAAACATGGTTCCTGGGATTAACTAAGAATTGTTTTAATGGGTCACCTATAGGCGACACCACCACGGGCGGACCTAGTGACGTGACCTGGAAAATCGGCGACTAATTCAAATTTTAATACATATTCAAATTACTTTCGAATGACTCTCCGCAACGTAATTAAGAACTAAAAATATTTCAAACTTCTACACTTCGAACTTAATATCACAATTGTTATAGCAGGCCTTGCCACTAGCTACAAGTGTCTCCCGTTTTTACACATCGCCGAGTGTCCTGTTTCGTCTCCAAAGTATTTGGTCGGAACTGTAATAATACCTTTCCCCGGTAGTCGGCGAGGCTGATGTTGCGCGCGCCGTGGATGTCGGTGGCGGAGTAGTTGTAGATGGAGTCGTCGTCGGTGCTGGTGTCGCAGTAGACGAAGGGCACGCGTTGCTGCTTGGCGAGGGCCGGGCCCGTCGCCGCCAGCAGCAGCACCAGCGCCGCCCACGCGCCGCCCGCGCTCGCCGCTTCGCGACGCATCGCGCAGCCTCCTTCTGCAACAAACAATGCATTCGATTGGTTGCCTTGTGATTCCGGGCGCGGCAACCACCACCACCACCACCACCAACAACAACAACAACAACAACAACAACAACAACAACAACGAGGTCGTGAATCCCGTAAGTGTAGTGTATGATTTTCCGCACCAAAATTGATGTGATTTGTATTAGACCACCTGCACAGAACGTACCTTACACGGACACTACGAATACAATTATGTAAATAATGTTTGATTAGAGACCTTTATTAAACTTAGATTTAATTAATTTATATGAATTGCTTATGTTGTATTAATATTAGTGTTCTGAATTTTGGATTAACTTAATACTTGGAATCTACTTAAAAGTGAAATTCGAATACGTTCATAAAATGAATTAAAAGAAGCTAAACAATCAAATATAATGAGATTTCAATTCAAATTATCATTAAAGATTTTGTACAAAATCTACCATAATTGCTGTTTATTCCCAATTAGAAACCCGTCATACACCAAATTCCTCATTTCAAGAAAGCTGAGAAAAAGCCCCCTCCCCCATAATTTTTCATTTTTTAAAATATTTTTATTTATTAAAGCAGTTTTTCATATAAATATACACTAAACGATGTGTCTATTCTCTTGGAATAATAATCCGTCGCTAATGCGTGTTTTAGGTTATGGCGTTTGACAGGTTTCTGAAATAAATGAGTCATTGAGTTTGGAAACGCTAATATGACTGGTGCTGCCAGCTACAGGTAATGTCATTCCCGACCGTAATTCTAACACACAACGAGGACAACATTGTCATGCACGTCATTTTAAGCCTTTGGTCTTGACGAGAGAAAGAACGATCCCGCATATGCTGCACCTAAACAAACTGGAACCACGCAGTACGAGAGCCAGCATGCCATTGTTTCACGTAACAAAGAAGAAAATATTGACGTCTTACACCGACATCCATTTTTCTGTCGCTTTATTTCTCCTCAAACGCTTCTTTGTTCTCGAATGTTACACGTTAATAATGTGTTTACCTACTTAATTGATGACACTGCATTACTTCTCTGTTTTCAAAATAACTGTTTTATCATTCAACATCTTTTATTTCACATTCAATGCATTAAGTCAGTTATTAGTACGATTTAATTGACATTTATGAATTATTGCAGAATTGTACAAAAGAGCTTTGGATCATTATTATGGGTAATTGTACATTTATACTTTGTTATTTTTATGTACACCGTTTTAATTAATATTTAGGTTCGCTTGGAGGCTCTCGTATCATGGCATTGACATAAAAAAGAAATAGAAAATACCCCTAACTCATTACGTGAGTACACCAAGGTTTAATTGTGTTTTAATCTTGCAATTAATTTAAACATTGTAAAAACCAAACATTATTAGGTCTGTAGTAAATGCAGGGGAATTTTGTTAGAACTGCGCCGAAAAAAACAGAGGGTTCTCTCTTCGAAATAGCAAAGACGCATAGAGAGTAGTGCGTGTGAGGGCAAATAATTACAGAAGGATGACGCTTCGTAGCACGTTATTGTCGATTTTAAAACACGAAAACCTCGGATTGACCGAAACACACTGCCGAAAGGTAAATTGATTGTTTAGTTTTTCATTTCTTGCGAATATAAAGCATTGTCATGCAGTAAATTCTACGCATTACTGCAAAACAGTTTTAAAATTGCTCTAGAACATTGAAATATTACAACTTCCTGAGCTTTGACCTCCAAGAATTTTTTTTTTTTTTTTTTTCGATTTTAACCCCCCACATACCAAGCTCTAAATGTAACGCCGAATATTATGCAAGATTTCTTTGAAGTATGAAATAAATAATTAAAATAAGAACATTTTGATTATTGTGAGAAGTTAATATATAATGAAAGACAAATTTAATAGAATTAAGAAACGTTATTTCTATTTTCTATGTTATTACACCAACAAGCTTACTTACGCCACGAACACTTACTGCTTCTTGGTCTACTCTTTCTATCTCTGTTTCTAATAATTAATAAGGAATAAAAATTGGGGACCCTGACTACCATGTGGGGTACATATATACCACAGTGCTTGTTTTTAAGTAGAACACCTAAAACACCTGAAAACTATTACTTTCTTTAAGACGTAATTGTCAACTGAAGTATTTCGGACAATACAACAAAATTTCAATCAAAAAAAAGCGAAACGTACACAAGTAAAAAAGAGAGATTGGGGTACACGTGAACTCCGCTTGGCACGCGAAGGGTTAGAGAGGGAATGCGTGCACAACGCCACTGGGCGGCGCGGCGGAACTCGCAACCAGCGCTGCTGAAGCGAGGGACGTTCGCCTGAATAGACTGTTCCAGTCCGCTGTTCAGCAGATGAAACGCTTTTGGAATCGCGTAAGTTTTAAAATTGGTCTGAAAGTACATTCTGATTTTAGCCCAGGTTTTAGAAAGGGTCTTTCAGATTCGACGGTTATTGGCCCACAGAAACCAGTGACTGACCAAGAGTATTTCGAGTTCGTCTGACCACCTCTGCTGCAGTCTGCTGGCGTGACGCTTTCCAAGACTTGGACCCCAAGAGGCTTTCGGTGAGTGCAACGGGTTTCAGGAAGCCTCGTGATGTGACCTGATAGCCACTTCAGAAGCCTGATAGCGATTGTAGCGTCCTTGAATTTTTTTGTTTGTGTGTATTCCTTTTATTATTCTACTTCTTAGGCTAATGTTTACAATACTCTTGCCATTTTTCGGAGGTGAACAATAATAATATTTGTTTCATTTGGTGACAGCTCATGTTCATGAATCGCATTTAGAGAGTCGAAAGTAAACAACTGCTTAAAATTATTTAATTTAACCATCTCGGTCCATTTAATCTTTGGTAACCATTTAATTAACCATCTCGATCATATTTTTATGCAGTTTCCCTGGTCCGTTGAGCAAATGCTGAGATGGCTCCTTGTTTCGCTTCTGGACAGAAATGTAACTTCACTTTCTTCATCAAAGACATAATATTGACTCGTCATACACAATTGTAATTGTCTATCTGACTGAATAAAATATATAATAATAATAATAATAATAATAATAATAATAATAATAATAATAATAATAATAATAATAATTACTTGCAGTCAATGTGCCCCGGACAATTTTATTTACATATATATTAATACTAAATTTTAAAAGCAATGTAATTATTTGGAGTGAGGAGATAATTACATAACTTACTGCCGTGTGTATAAATGTAAATAATCATTACGGATAATGTTTACGAATCCTTTCGTGACGTGAGCTGAACGTCTGCCCGGAAGGCTTCTGGTTCGCAGGCCGACGTCTGCGCAGTAGACACCTTTTGACGGTCAATTTTCCTTCAGGGCCGTTGGGAGGGCGTAGCGAAAGCGGTTAGGGAACTTCACGCTGCTTCGCCACACTCAACGCTTTTATTTGCAGCCACCGTTCGGCACTCCGAGGCCAATGAAACGGCAGAGCCAAACGGACGGGGCAATGGGAAGCTTCGGGCTGAGGCGTAGCTAGATATGCAGGCGCCCATGGCAAGCATAGAATTTGCGCCCCTGACAGGATACTTCAAATTAGGGTTGTTGTTTTTTGTTTTAGAGGGTATACACAAGCGTGAACAAGATTACGATTATTTTCAAAACGTTTCATAAACAATTTATCTCGAAAAATAATGACTATATTTTCCTTTGTTGAATTTTAGGACTTCGCTGGATAATAAAAATTCATGTTTATTAATATATATTTCAAAAGTCGTAAAAATTGAAGACAAAAATGTTGCTATTTTAAAAATATATAATTTACTTAATGGACATTTACAAAAAATAAATTTACATACATTACTGTACGTAAACAAAAATTACTACTAATAAGAATATTTAATTAATTATACTTATATGACCATGATACTCATAAATGCGAAAAGTACCATTTTTGTGTAGACTAAAAATGAGCTTTTGCTGATTTTACTAATGCAAATTCATCAATGACGGAAATAAAATCAATTTTCTCAGTCTCTTCTCTTTCAACACTCAATAGAGCTAGATCACACAATCATTTATTCAAACTATTAAATAGGATAATACTTTGAAGTATGAAATAACTAATTAAAATAAGAACATTTTGATTATTGTGAGCAGTTAATATATAAAGAAAGACAAATTTAATAGAATTAAGTAACGTGATTGCTATTTTCTATATTATTACACCGATACACTTCATCAAAATACTTCTTTCAAGGTTAGTCGTGTTGTAGGTAACTGACGCATATTTTTATTGTTTTGTATTTGAATGTTCATGACAAGTAAATGACGAACACGTACTGCTTCTTGTTCTACTCTTTCTATCTCTGTTTCTAATAATTAATAAGGAATAAAAATTGGTGACGCGGACTGCCATGCGGGATACAAATGTACCCCAGTGCTTGTTTTTAAGTAGAAACTGTAAAACACCTGAAAACTATTATTTTCTTTAAGATGTAATTGTCAACAGAAGAATTTCGGACAATACAACAAAATTTCAATTTAACAAAATAAGAGATACGCACACAACAAGTAAATAAGAGAGATTGGGGTACACATGTACCCCACTTGGTACGCTTGGTTTGAATTTTAACTTGCTGAAAGATTTATCAGATCTTGCAATAGAAATTGTAACACTTGGCATATTTTGAATAGCGATTCGTACATTCGGGGAAACCCTTTCAACTTCATATTCAACAAAGAATTTTAGAAGTTCTTCAGATCTTGATATTTTAATAGTAGATCGAACTGCGCGAAGCCTTTTGCATTCAATTTCTTCTAAAAGCTGTTATCCATCAGCATCACTGCTGTATAAAGTGGCGAAGTTTGCACTGTACACTTAACTTTTGTATCCGCCTAAAGCACAGACCCTCAATGTCGAGCAGGGGGTCAAATTTTTCATTAGTATCTTGTAAGCGGGTGAACCTTCCATTCATTTCGCTATTAAGTCAACCGTCGACTTCGTGGCTCTTTCAATTTATTGTTTTGCTGTTAGAGC